AATATCATCTGGTCATTGCTTTGGAATCCAAAGTTCTTGAGGGCGTCAGTGAACAGCAACAACATACAAAGCAGCAGTCGATTAGTGAGTGCAGGCTATGGCCATAGCATGACCTTACCTAGTACCCTGAGCCCCTGAGATTGGGGGTCTTCCTGTTCTCATTTTACATACAGCAAAACCAGTGCTCAGCACAAGTGAAAAATGAAAGTACAAGAATCCAAGGTCTCATTTTGAGTTCGACCCAGATTGCCAGCCATTGGTCCAGACTCTACCCTGAAGCTGTTTATTATCATCTGTAGGAGTGTCCATCCCTTGCCTCTCTGTTACCCCAGAGAAGGCAGTCTGATGGCTTCTTAAGTGATACAAGGTTTTCCTGCAGTCAGTGTGGTTCATACATGTTTGCTGGCATATTCTACAAATGCTGAAACTTGCATTGCCAGAGCAGAAGCACCCGAGACCTTGCTAAAATGCCAGCTTATGAGCCTCAGGGCAGGCCTACCAAGTCACTGTCTGACCTAGGGAACCAACGACCCTAGAGTCTTATTCTACCTAGATGTCAAGGCTGCTGGTCTGGTAGTGTACAGTTTGTCATCTACATTATACCCAGAAGCCCTCTCTCTAATTAAAACTCTCTGATGGTTAAAATCCCTGTGATAGGAAAATCCCACATAGAACACACTCTGTGTTTAATGCTTTTAAGAAAGAGCCAGCTTCTTGGTGTAAGCTCTGTTGTTCTGGAAGAGCTTGGTGCTAGCTAAATGGTTCTGTGTCCTAAGTGTGTATAACGTTTTCTCTGGGGTGTGATCCTGGCAGGAGTATGTTCTGAATGCTGTTTTCTCTGATAGTTGAGGCTATGATGTTTTGGTCAGCTGCCTGGGAAGATGTCCATGCAGCAGGAAACTCAGGCCCTGCAGAAAGACTCTCACAAGGTGAAGTTGTAACCCAGCACCTTCAGCAAAGAGAGCTTGGAGAGGAAGCCCACCCCTGCCTCTGCCACTTCACCCCTGTCCAGGCCTCCAAGCTGCTGGGTTGAGCTGAGGTGTGGTAGGAGATTAAAGTACAGGAGTTTGAACTTTGAAGCTGGGTCCAAGGCCTGTCCTTGGCGCTTGCTCTCTTCTTCTGAGCTTTTGTTTTCTTTTTTCCTGGGTCAGTGGAGGTTGTTTTAGTTAGTTTCTTCTTAAGGCACCGTGATTAAGACTATAGAAGGGAACATTTAAGTGGGAGCTTGCTTACAGCTTCAGAGGGTTAGTGCATTATCATGGCAGGGAGCACAGCAGCAGGCAGGCATGCATGGTGCTGGAACAGTAGCCAAGAGCTCACACCTACTCCGCAAATTGCAGCCAGAAAGAGAAAGAGGGAGACGGGGCCTGGAGTGAGCTTTTAAAACTCCAAAGTCCACCCCCCAGTGACACACCTCCTCCAACAAGGCCACACCCCCTAAAGTGGAACCTTTCCAAACGGGACAAGCATCCAAAGATATGAACCTATGAGAGCCATTCTCATTCAAAACACCACAGGGGTTTAAAAAAAATAATGTGCAGTAACTGCCCAGCACAAGGTGACTGAACAGCCCCGGGAAAGGCCCAGTTCATTTACAGCAAGCTGAGCTTTCTCTCTGGGAGGTAGAAATGGCCAGGGCCCGGGTAGCAGTCCACACTCTCCATCATTTTCTCCCTGACTGCCTTAGCTCCTCCTCCTCTGCCCTAGCTGGATTCTAGTGACCCATCTGGTCAGGAATCAGTCCTTCGGGGGAGGTAGTGGTAGTGTAGGTAGATTAGTGGCACTGTGTTTTCCTGGCCTGTACACGTACCCTGAGTTTAATCCCCAACAAGAAGGGGAGCGAGAGAGAGTACTTAGAGTCAAGGTGTCACATGTAAGATCCCATCAAAGACCAGGAAGGAAACAGAACTCAGCTTGCAGAGCGTGGTACTAAAGCCCATATCATAACCTCAGAGAATTCATTCAGCCTAGTTGTTTTTAGTGACAAAGGGCAGCCAAGCTGCATTCTGAACAATCAATACAAGGACAGCTTCTGCAGAAGCCAAAAATGATGCCGCCCTTGGGCACTTGCCTGGGGATTGGAAATAATTTGATATTTATTGATAAATATTAATATCAATAAATAAATATTGATAAATATTTGGGCATCCCAAAATAATTTTTCAAGGGGACCATGATATCAAAGCTATATTTCTTTTGCCTTTTTTGTTGTTGTTTGTCAGAATCTCTAGCTTCCTGGGCTCAAGCTACTCCCTTGCCTCAGGCTGCTAAGTGCTGGAACTTCAGGTGTACAAAACTAAACCTTCCTGAAAACTATTTCAGCATAGTACTAAGACTATGTGCCTTCTTTGTGCCCCTGCATTGCAGGGACAGTGTTGAGGGACGTATGAAGATGGCAGCTCTGAAGGCTGCTGGGATGAGTGTGTGTCCTTGTGGTGTAAGATTCTCTTGGTTTAGCCAGGCCATGGTGGTTTAATCCCAGCACCTTAATCCCCTTTAATCCCAGCACTTGGGAGGCAGAGGCAGGCTGATCTCTGTGAGTTCGAGGCCAGCCTGATATACAGAGTGAGTTCCAGGATAGCCAGGGCTCCATATAGTAACCCTGTCCCAAAAACCGCCCTCCGCCTCCAAAAGAATCTCTTGGTGTAATTGTTATGCAACGTTGATAGACATAACCCACAGAAAACCAGATCTTCTAGTGACCTTAAGGTTTTCTGAAAGTATAAAAGAATTTGAGACCAAAAATAATCAGAATGTCGGGTGTAAGGCTGTTCTGCCCCGTACCCCCAGGGTGCTGGCACAGCAGGGCACCAAAGCTTCCCTGTTGTATTTACATCATAACGATCTTCCTTGTGAGTGGTTAGGTCTGAATGTGAGTTTCAGAGTACGTGCATGAGTGCATGCGTGCATGCATGAGTGTCTGTGTGGAGAGTGACAGAGACAGACAGACAGAGAAGAGAATGCCTGCTGGGACAGTTCTCGCTTTATTTCCTCCAGTCCGCAGAGCAACCAGCTTGACAGTCACATAATGTCCAGCAAATGTTTTGTGAACATCTTAACTGAAAATTGTGTGTCCCTGAGGTCCAGCAAGGTTTGTGACTCCTTCGGAAACGTTTTCCTTCCAGGGAGTGGAAGTTTGGCTCTACAGAAACTTAAATAGTTCCTGATCCAAAGAGGGAAGCCTTCTACCACCCATTCGGACCCTCATCTCTGTAGCAGGGGACTCAGGCCCAGAAGACAACTGAGGTCTCTTCCTCTGCAGCCTTGGGAACCACAGCTGGAAAGCAGTGGGCTCCACCCACTCCTTTGAAGCCTTGTAGGTCCCTCAGCTCTGCTTGGCCTCAGTGGGCATCCTAAAAAAATGGGTCTTCCTGCCAGACCCCTCACAGCAGCCTGGTGGGGATGAATTAGAAAGTGCTCAGAAAGGAGCAAGTGGCTGGAATGTTCCTTAGACTGTGGTCCTGTCTGGATTGGCAACCTTGGTTCATTAGTTCCAACTTTGGGTTAATGCCTAATGCTGCAGAGAGATGGCATTGTGACCTGTCACTGGACAAAAGACACCCATTTGAAACAAAAGCTAGCATGAAGCTCTTTGCAGAGCAGGCTGCAGCCTAGTGAGGCACCTAGTTTTGCCTACACTTGAGAAGCCTTAAGAACAACAGCTAAGCATGGCACGAAAAACCTTCACAGCCCCTCCATGAGGTATGCCATGGTTAGCTCCTTAAGAGAAGAAGAAACTGAGTCAGTGGAAAGCTAGGTAGCTTGTAGAAGGCCCTACAACACCAAATTAAACCCTGGTACTCTGGTCCCAGGGTCTCTGGAGGGAGGATGCTCCTAGTATCCCAGCTTTCTAAGATTCACATCAGCACCTCCTTGTCTCCTGGGGAGTAGAGGACCTACTGGATCTGAGAGTTGAGTTCCGAGCAGAAGTCCCAGCCCTTCTGGTTGCTTCTGTGTGGCCTCTCTGTCTTAGTTCCTTTATCTGAAAAGTGAGGGGATCCAACACCAACCTCAAGATTGTTGGTAGGTTCAAACAAGACACTGCAAGGCAATATAGTTTCCTGCCTAAGAGAACAGGTGAGAAGTCAATGGGAGACTTCATAGCTAATGGTATTTAACTTCCCCACGTCTTCATTTCATTCTATATATAATGGTGACAATAAAATGCTTGATCTGAGGTTTAAATGATATCTGATAGATGCTTATTAGCACAACTGATAATAACTGTTCAACCAAGTCACCACATGCAAGTGTCTGTCATAAAGCAGGGCTATGCTTTATGTGATGAAGCTGGCCATTGTCCCTAATGCAAAAGAAGTCCTATATGGGATAGAGAAATGTCAGTGACATAATGGTCTTGGCATGCTTCCGTCTTTAAAGGGCTCTGCACTGAGCTCTTGCAATTTGCTGGAGTCGCAGACCTCCTGAGCCAGAATTTGCATTTTGGCAAGAATCCAGGTGATTCCTAGGCACACTCAGGCTCTAGATGCACCAGTATTCGGGTGGAAAGAACAGCAGTGATAGCCCCGGGCATGGAGTAGGAAGGGTTAATGTTTCATTTGGCTCTGGCACAGGAAACAGAAGGTTCCAGAGATTGAAGCATATGAATGGATGAAACAGGAAGGCTCCCTTCCTGCCTGTGTTCTGGGCAGCTGGGGACTCCAGCTGAGATATGTTCGGAGCCTCCGAGCCTGAAAATCAGGCTGAGGCAAACCAAAGCCATTCTGCTCCTGTTCAGGGTGGCCTGGCAACATGAAGGCCCAGTCCTCAAGCCAAGGCCATCTGAGGTCTGAGGCAGAGTAGGCAGGCTGGAGGAATACCACAGGGTTTTGAGTAGGGCCCTCCCCGGAGAGGTTGGTGACCAGCCATGGGATAGCTGTGTGGGAGGGGGTTCCCTGTGTCTCCCTGGTAAACGTGGCCCTGCCTCCTGGCCCCTGCTGCCCTGGCCTCCAGTGGGCATGGACAGGATCTTAACTCAGAGCCTGCCTGTCTCTCCCCAGTGCTGGAGCAGCTGATCCCTGAGCTCACCGGGCTCCTCAGCCTCCTGGACCATGAGTACCTTAGTGACAGCACCCTGGAGAAGAAGATGGCCGTGGCCTCCATCCTGCAGAGCCTACAGCCCCTCCCAGGTCAGCCCTAAAGAATTTCATTAACAGACAGCAATGGTCCCATTCACACCAAGGCCTGTATAAGGCGATGTCTAAGCCTCATAGCACCACAGGGTTCTTCACTGTGGTCCGATATGCTCACCCACCCAGGCCCTGCCCCTCCATGTAGTCTTGGTGGTATTGTATGTGCTCCTCCATCCCCAGGGACTCACACAGAACATGCGCGTTCATATATTCACCATACATGATTCGCAATATAACACTCTCACACGTGACACACAGCAAATACTAACATATACCATATGTACACATACATACAGCGCATACAAGCACATGCTTTGGCTACGCTATAATCTATACATGTGTGTACAACATACGGGTTCAGGTAGATGCACACTCCTGTATGCTCTCTGACACACGATTCCTCACAAGTTAAATCAGTTCCCACTCATGCCGCCCTCTAAAACCACATATGTGTGCCTGACTGCCTATCAAGCAGCCTGCCTCCGCCTCTCTGAGACACCCCAAATCAGCAGAGAGCATCCTGTCTCTCCATAACTAACAAGCTGTATCCCATCCTTGTGGGGCTCCTGGAATCTAAAACTCTGAGCCATAGTGTCCCCCAAAAGAATGTCACCTGCTGCCACCCAGGATCACTGAGGGGTGCAAGGGACAAAGGTTCTTCCTCACTGGAGCCCTTTCTCCTTGACATCCCCGCACTGCCCTATAGCACTAGGTTTCTGGGTACCCTTCCATGTGGAGGCAGAGGGTGCAATCACGGTGACGATGCAGACAAGTGGAAAGAGGTGAGGTAGACTCCGCAGCTCACTGTCATTTGTCTTCTTCCCTCAGCAAAGGAAGTCTCCTACCTGTATGTGAATACTGCAGACCTGCACTCGGGGCCCAGCTTTGTGGAGTCTCTCTTTGAAGAATTTGGTAAGTTCCCTCTCCTAACTGTAGCTGTAAACCATCCCTCTACACACACACACGCACATACAAGCACACACACACAGGGTTCCACCTTGCGCTGCTCTTGGCTTTCACACTGAGCAGTTAAGTCTCCTTGGGCTCCTATGCCCTGGCAGCTCCAAATGCTGCCTAAATCTGTAGGTAAGGACTTACCCCAAGCTTGCAGGAGTTAATGGTGGTTACCTTAGTCATTGTTGTCCATCAGCCGTGGCCACGGAGCCTGGCTGGGAGGTACAGCAACTTGGCAGAAAATAGGAGTTATGACTGGGGAGAGTGGCTGCCTGAGCCTGAGAGCAGCCATACTGGCATGAGAGAGATGGGGTGCCGCCCAGCCATCCTAGCATAGAAACCACTTTCCTTCTCAGGAGAGAGCTATGATCTAGGAGAGTTTTTGAGAATACAATCCTTGTACAGCAGAGAGACACAGGAGTCCCTCTCCATCCCCCCAGGAAACCCCATGCTTCCGTGTCATCCTGTCAAAGACCTCCAAAGCACTTCACAAAGATATTCTACCGTGATCTCTGTCTGGAAGCCAGACAAGACAAATTAGCCCAGCCAGCCTACAGAAGACACTCAGGACACCCTGTTCAGCTCCTTGCTCATGTTGCTGACGATGGAAGAAGTAGGGTCTGGTTTCACAGGCAGGCTTCCTGGACCCCAAAGCCAGCCAGCCATCTTGCTTCTCTGCCATGCTTGTCCTTGGTTTTCTCTGTAGACTGTGACCTGGGTGACCTTCGGGATATGTCAGATGATGGGGAACCCAGCAAAGGAGCCAGCCCTGAGCCAACCAAGAGCCCATCTCTGAGAAGCGTGAGTCCTAGCCCCGTCTAGGAAGGGTGAGGGAAGGTTTTCCTACAACCCCAGGGGCTACTGAGGCTACATGGGACCCCCTTCTCTCCGTGGTGATGGTTAAGGGCAGATAGAGTACCATGTGGACATATCACTGGCCTGTGACATGCTTACAGTGCTTCATGTAGAACAGGGAGAAGGTGGTGAGCCTCGTCTCTATCCTCTGGCCCGAAGGACTTCACCACCCCAGCCTCAGGTTATATATACAGGAAGAGGAAAAGCTCTGGGCTAGGAAGTGAGGGTTCTACCAGTCCCCACTGATCTCCTGGGGAGCCTGAGATTTTAACACCTACAAAGGAAAGGATTAGATCCCAACCCCGGGACTACAGAGTTAGGCAGAAGCTTTGTCTGTCAACCACAGAATCTTATCATCACCTCTGTCACAGCTACTAGTTGCTAACTTGCTAGGCCCTTTACATGCACACAGCAACCAAATGTGTGTGGCATGCTCGCTATCCCCATTTTACAGATAAGGCTCAGAAAGGATAGTTACACACCCAGTGACCCAAAGCTAGGAAAGGACATTGCTGAGCTGAAAAGCTAAGGTTTCCTGACTCAATTTTGTTTTGTTTTGTTTTGAGACAGGTTTCTCTGTGTAGTCTTGGCTGTCCTGGACTCACTTTGTAAACCAGGCTGGGCTCGAACTCGCAGAGATCTTCCTGCCTCTGACTCTGCTTCCTTGAGTGCTGGGATTACAGGCTTGTGGCACCGCTCACTCAATTATATACTTCATGTTTACTTGTTCTGTTGCTCCTTGTCTGGTGGCAGAGCTCACACCGGTGTTGGAGAACTGTGGATGTCCGCACTCTAAAGTACAAAGGCCACTCTGGGCAATTTGCAGAACTCTCAGACCAAACAAAGGCTCTCTGACGCTGCGGAATGAGCTGCTCAACGTTACAGCCTACACCAGGCAGAGCGGCACATGCTGTAATTCCAGCAAGCAGAAGGGAGAGATGGGAGCATTGCAGTTCTGGGTCAGCCTGAGCTACACAATAAGATCTAAAAACACAAGAACAGCTTAGAGCTTCACGTTCAGAATGTCTCCTTGGAGCCCTGGCCTCCTGCCCTCGGGTCACCTGTTCCCCTCTGCTGTGTTCACAGTCAGCCCTCGTCACGAACCTTATTTGTTCCGCTGCAGGCAGCCGAAGTGCCCCCACCCCTGCCCAACAAGCCTCCACCTGAGGACTACTACGAAGAAGCCCTTCCCCTGAGCCCCGGCAAGTCCCCCGAATACATCAGCTCTCACAGTAAGTTCTGGTCCACTCGTGGCTTACACGAGTCCCTCCCTGAGAAGCAGCAGGTCATGAGCCGCCACCTGCCCAGTTCCATCACCTTTTCCTGAGAGGGGCTGCCCTGAGCTCCTAACCTTAGGACCAGTGGTATGGCCCAGGTTCTTGGCTTCTAGTCTCGGGTGTGTGGCCTAAGACAGACAGACCCTTGTCTTCTGAGGATCTTTGTTCCTCTACCTTTGAAACAAGGAGGCACTAGATCCATTCATAAAGAGCATTAGGACATAGTGACAGCCGTTAGCCCTGCTTCCAACTCCTTCACCCCTTCTTCTTATTTGGTATCACGGTTTGCTTCTGTGTGTGCGTATGAATGGCTCTTGTTACCATGGGATGTGACCCATGGTCCAAACCAAGCTTCATGGTTCAGCCCCAGGGAGTAATATCATGCAGTGGTACAGGCAAAAATAGTAGAGGCTTTACATATATAGTTCAACCATTTTTTAAACTATGAATATTTTATATTTAATTATTATTTCCTTATAGCATAATGCTTATAAATAGCATACATATAATTTATACATAAGTATGTACAAAAATTCTGTGTACGTATTATAATAGATGGGACAGGCTCTTAAGTTGGCCCCAAACAAAGAGTCCTTGTTCTCCCACTGATTCCCCAGTGTGCAGCATGAGGATCAGGTGGAGTCCCTTTACTCAGCATAAGGACTTGCCATTGCACCGGGAAACTGTGGGTTTGGAGGTCCAAGCATGCGCGGCTGAGTTTGTAGATGGTAATGTCAGCGTACTGCTCCCCCCCTGCCCCCCGCAGCACAGTAGACCATTTTCCACCTGCTGAACTGGAAATCAAACAGGTATGCCCCATCAGAAACAAACTCACAAGGTACACATGAATGACCTAGTCGTGGAGGAAAATCAAGCACAGAATATTTCACAGAACACGATTTCATTTGTTTGTTTGTTTTCTAACAGTATATATACCTTCATGCATTGATTTTAACAATTTTTCTAGGAAGCTAGTAACAGGGTTTTTCTGTGGGAAATGAATAGAAATCCAGGTGGGACACTGGGCAGGTAGCCCAGGGACAGAGCCCTTGTACAAAATAAAACAATTAATAATAGGTGAGTGTGGGCTGTAATTTGAGAACACTTCTTATTTAAGCCAGTTTGATGACATTCACTAGAATCCCAGTTACTAGGACCCTGAGGCAGAAGGATTACTTGAGCTCAGGAGTTTGAGGCCCCTTCTCCACAGAAGCTAGTGAGGAAGAGAAGGAAGACATAAGTAAACCTGGGTGAGGGGAACATGCGCTTTCATTCACACTCTTGCACTGCTTATATTTTCCCATGGGCAAAAGTTTTCTCACTGTGATAAAATAGAAGACTGTCACATTGTTTTGGAAAGTGTCTAGCTGTGCATTCAGTATTACACAGCCACCATCGCTACCTAAACCTCAGGCATTTTGATCATCCCTAAAAGAACCTGGACCATGAAGTGTAGTCCCTGCTCAGTCACTGCTTCTCCTCCCGAACACCCCAGCCTCTGCCAGTCACCTGTCAGCTTTCTGGTAATATGGTTTTTGCCTATTCTGGGCATTTCATATAAATGGCAACATCCGACATGTGACCTTTCTAGCCTGGCTTATTTCACTTACCATGGAGTGCTTGCAAGATCTATTCGTGTTGCAATGGGCAGCAGACTGGTATGGCTGATATTCTTTTCTAAGGACATAAAACATTGGGCTTATCTATCCATCAGCTGGTGACATTTTGGCTGTTCACACCTGTTGTCTGTGGTGAGGTTGGACCAAGTGATCTGTGGCCTTCTTCATTCAGCCCTTGAGTCTCCAGTTCTTTGTCACAGAGCTGAAGGAGGAAATGTTTCCCCTCTGGTCCATTAAGGGCAAAGGAATAAGGAAGAGACAAGGTACTTTCTGGGCCCCAAGTTTCATGCCAAGTGCCCTGGCAAGAAGAGGCTACCTAACTGTCCCAGAGAGCTTACTTCTTTCATACAGGGCAGAGAAGCCCTCTCCTGGGAAGGCAGGAAGGGGGCCCTCAGGAAAGACCATTCAGGGAGGAGCCTACCACCAAACCAGCCAGTCACACTGCTCTTTCTCTCATACACAGTGTCCAGCCATGCCCGGAGTTACAGTTTCACCCCTGCATAGCCCAATTCCCCTACTGCCAACTTCTCCAATCCACCTTGCAGGTCACACTGCCAACACGTAGGCCTCAGAGAGGCAAAGGCAGGCTCCAAGCCTCACTTGGGAGCGAGCCGAGCATCCCGGCAGCTAGGGACTTCAATACAGCTTTCCTCAGGAAACAGATGGACAGGAGAGACCCAACAACCCAGAGTGAGCCAGCCTAGGAGAATGAAGGCATCCGGCTCTGTTCTGATCTAGGCTCGGCCACCAGCAATCACCGTGGGCCTGTTGCCCTGCGTGTAAAATGGAACCAAAGCCTTTCTTTTGCAGCAGGTACTCCACACCCTGTAACGCAGAGACCAGAGCTGTGACAGGGACATTCACACCTGCTCAGTGTCACTGGGGAATGAGAAGAAACATGTCTGAGCTGGGTCTTGAAGAGTGGGGAGTAATTTTCTGATAAAAATGTAAGAAGGCACAGAGAATAGCACGAACACAGCCTGGAGGTCTGACGGGACCCAGCAAGGCACTGTGTAGTGATGGGTATGTAGGGTTAAGTGGGAAGCCAGAGCAGAAGAATTAGGACCCCACACCCAGGCTGAAGCTGCCCTGAGTCCCCGCTCTCCATCCCCAAGGCTTTCCCAGCCCTGCCCCTGGATTCTCCCCATATTTCTTTAAGGTCAGCTCTTTCTGACAACCCCACAGATGGCTGCAGCCCAGCCCAGTCGATTGTGGATGGCTACTACGAGGACGCGGACAAGAGCTACCCCACAACGAGGATGAATGGAGAGCTGAAGAACTCCTGTAGGTACTGGGCAGCTGCTCCCACAGCTGTCCTCCTGAAGAGCTGGCCCTCGGCATGCACACATGCACCTCACCAGGCTGTGATCACCAAACAGCCCCAAAGCCCCTGTCCTCATTGGGTTCAGTAGAGAGACCACTGGAATGGGAGTTACTTCAATCTTGCCTTTCCTGATTCTTAGGGAAGTTCAGTTTCCTTATCTGTCCCGGGCAGTTGCTGGGTTGTGAGGATGATCTGAGACTGGCTGTGGATGGTGATGAGGTCAGGGCAATACGAGAAGTTTGCTGAGCCGTCATTGGTATACGACACTTAGTTAAACATTTTCCATACCGTAAGGTCCAAGGCACCAGATGAAGTAGAATCTGGTACTTATCATGACTACATATTGGGGAGGAACTCCAAGAAGTGAAATCACTATGACCCCATCACAGAGGTCAATCCAAAGCAAAGCTTTTGAGTAAGGCCTACAATCTGTCCTTGTTCTTCCTCTGCCTTCCATAGCTCGGGCCCAGAGCAGGCTGCCTGCCAGGGTAAAATGGGGATTTCCCCAGAGTGGCACAGAGGCTGAGGGTCCTTTCCCATGACACCCACAGACAATGACTCTGACGCCATGAGTAGCTCCTATGAGTCCTACGATGAGGAGGAGGAGGAAGAGAAGGGGCAGCAGCCCAGGCACCAGTGGCCCTCAGAGGAGGCCTCCATGCACCTGGTGAGGGACTGCAGGATATGTGCCTTCCTGCTTCGGAAAAAGCGCTTCGGGCAGTGGGCCAAGCAGCTGACGGTCATCAAGGAGGAGCAGCTACTGGTGAGTTGACTCACTGGAGGCTTGTGGGTGTGTCCTTATGTGCCTGAGGGTATGACTGGTCGGCACAGAACCTCGGGGCATGATATATCAGAGCTGCAGCACGCGTGTGCGCACACACACACAGAATCAGATGGAGGCTCACCTAGTTTTTCTTTTTTCTAGAATTTAAAAAAATTACTTTAAAATATCCATTTTCTTTATTATGCAAGTTAGTGTAATCATTAATAAACTAGGGGAAGGGTCAGGAATGTAGGTCAATATCCAGGTATTTGCCTAGCATGCAGTCCCCAGCACCACAAAAAAATAAAAAATAAATAAATAAACAAACTCACTAGGAGAAAAAGAAAATGATTTAAAAAAAAAAAATTATAATCCCAGCAGTTGAGAGGTGGAGGCAGGGGGATTTTCATGACTTCAAGTTGAGCCAGTGCTATATAGCAAGACCTTGAAGAAAGACAAAGCAAAAGAACAAAGCAATGAAGCTCGTTGGTCGAGAGATAATGGAGATGGCTCACCAGGTAAGAGCAGTGACTGCTCTTGCTGAAGACCTGGGATCTATTCCCAGCACCCACATGTTGGCTCACGTGGCTTTGAGACCTTTCCTCACCCTGGGCAGTGAAGACTGACTGCAGGCCAGGGCCAATCCGAGGGTCATGATGTGCATATTTCCAGTTCTTCCACCTCCCTCTCTCTATTCTTCTTGACTGCCTACTGCTGCCAGACCCTCCAGCCCAGAGGATGGAGGAGGAGGAGGAGGAAGGCAGCCAGGCTCAGCCCAACTCCAAAGAGAGTGGTATAATAGTTCTCCAGTACAGGAGGCTCTTGCTGTGGTGTTTGTAAATGTTCCTTTTATCACGTGCAGGCCAAGCCCCTACCCTCTACTCTGTGTCCCTGCTTTATAGCATATGTGGTTCCAAATCTTATCAAGAACCTGTTTCTGCCTCTGTTGACTTAGGTGCTTTTTCTCTCCTCTCTCATTATGACAAATTGTGTGGATATTTGAATGTTAAGCCACCCCCCTGTGTTCCTAGAATAAACCAGTAATGGTCCTGTGTTTTTGTAAGAGGCTAGATTCTGTTTGCTAGTGTTTCATTTAGGGCTCTCAACTCCATTATAAAAGAAAGTATACTATGAGTTTTTCTCTTTTGTATTTTTTCATGTATTTATTTACTGGGGGGAGGGGCATGCATGCCATGTCAAATATGTAACAGAGAGGACAAATTGCTGGAGTTGGTTCTCAGCTTCCACCATGGGGGTTTCAGGGATCAAGCTCAGATGACCAAGCTTGGTAACAAATGTCTTTACCCACTGGGCTGTGTTAACCTTTTGTTTTTTTAAGCTTTTGGTATCATAATCACAGGTTTCACTAGGAAAGACCTCTTCCATACATGTATAGATTTTGCGCATAGTCACATTTCTGTCACCCTCTTCTCCCATCCCAGCTAATCCCCTTCCACTTCCTGCTAGCCCTTTACCCCTCCTTTGTGTATGTGTGTGAATCAGTGAGCTCACTTGGATTGTTTACAGAAGCATAGGCACCTTACCCGTGTATACATTACTGAAGGAAATGTCTCTCCCTGTGCCAGCAAACCATTCTCTACATATAGATCCCTTTTTGTAGCATTGCTGTCAAGTTCTGGTGCGGAGGTTAAGGCTGACATCACTATAAGAAAGCCCATCTTTTCAAGGTCAGCACTGCATATACCTGCCAGGATTTACTCCTAATGTTCTGCCGTGCAGCCCTTTCAGCTGGCGTCCTCCTAGGCCAGCCTATTTTTTTCCCCCTCTGGTTCTTCAACCCACATAGTCTTCCTAGAATTGTGCTATAGTCTGCCTTTTCCTCACAGACAGCTGTGCTGGAAGATTCCCAAAGGACCCCCACCCCCACCCCTGGCGTCTCTCTGTGAGGTATCACTCGTAGTAGGAACTCTTCTCTGTGTGAGGGTGTCCTCCCCCTCTCCACCCTCTTCTGCAGAAGGTCCTGACCCCCCTCTCTCCCTGTGCAGTGTTACAAAAGTTCCAAGGACCGACAGCCACATCTGAGGCTGGCCCTAGATGGTTGCACCGTTGTCTATGTGCCCAAGGACAGCCGACACAAGCGGCACGAACTGCGCTTCTCCCAGGGGCCCACAGAGGTGCTGGTGCTGGCTCTGCAGAGCAAGGAGCAGGCTGAAGAATGGCTGAAGGTATGCGCACACAGGACAAACAGGAGGCTCCGGCCCGTCCTCCCTCCCTTCCTCTCTTTCCCCAGGCTTAGGGTCCAAACCTTGGAGGCTTGGAGGCTTAGGGGAAAAAGGATCCAGGTGCCCTGTGTATGACTCCTATCAAATGGACCTTGGATATTGGCAACACAGACCTCATATAGGAGGTCTATAATCATCCAGCTATTAAAGTTTCCTATACAGCAGCTTGCTATCAGCACAACCTACACTTCTGGAACAGTGAACTTCATGCCTTTGAAAACTGATTTTTATCGTTAGGCCAGCTAGCCCTTTTAATTTAATAGAAGAGGGGGAGGGATCCTTTCTTGTTTTTAGATGGAAATGTACATTTTTTGTAATACTCGCTGGAGTCCAACACCATTATGGTGTCACAGATCCATGAGGCCACCATGTATTAATCACTTTGTACCATGCAATGTGCCAAAAGCCTCATGCATATGACCATTGAGGGCTGTTGTTACTTACATTCAAAGGTGGGTAAACTGAGGCACAAAGAACCTAATGCGATTTCCAAAGATCACAGACTAGGGCATCAAGCGACTGGGGCCAAAATTTGAAGCTAAGTAGATCTACTTCAAAATAGGCATGGTGGTATAGTGATGACAAGGGATTTTCTTTAATACATGGATTTGAGTTCAAGTTCTGCAGCTTAAATAGCATTCGCTGGCTGTGAGATCTGCAAATGACATTACTTTCCTCTGTCTTGGTTTTCTCTCCTGTTAAATGGTTCTTTTAAGGATTCAACACGCCAGCTAGCCCAGAGCCTGCCGGCCAGGCAGTAAGTAAACAGTAGTGCTGGTTAGTTTCTGATGATGGTGATGGTGGCACTACCCTGCCCCCAGTCCCTTCCAGCAGACCCTCCATCCCTCCACTCCACCAGATGCCCTGCTCTCCTCTCCCATCTTCCTGTTGGAACAATAAAGCCAAGCCCCTCCTTTTACCCCCTCCTCCCTTCTCCCTTCCTTCCGGTGATAACCAGCTCTCCCCCCTGGAATGTTTGGTATTCTTGTCCTTACTTTTGTGTCCAGAGGGGAAGGAAGGGGAGAGAACATGCCTTCGGGAGCCTCAAGCTTCAGGCTCCATAAAAGTCGGAAGCTGGAGTGGAGCGTTAGGCCCAGAGTTCAAAGGGATCTGCCAGGCCATTCTGGTCCTCTGTAGTGTAGCCCGAGGTTTACAGCCAGGCAGATACATAGCCTACTGAGGGGTCCTGCTGCCCCCAGCAGAGCCTTCATCTCCCTGAGTCAAACCATCTCTGCTGTAACTTGAGGATCACAGACTCCTGGGGGGATAAATGCTGTTCTCTAGATGAGCATCAGATGGTGCCCTTTGGTTTGGGTTTTGGGGTTTTTTTGAGACAGGGTTTCTCTGTGTAGCCCTGGCTGTCCTAACTCACTTGGCAGACCAGGCTGGCCACAAACTTGGAGATCCACCTGCCTCTGCCTTACGAGTGCTGGGAGATGTGCAACACCAAGCCCAGTTTAGGTAGTGGCTTTTTAAATTTTATCACCTGCAAGCTTATTCTAACAACCTTGAGTAAGTGAAAAGGACACCGCTGAGGCAATTTCCCTGTCACTGGCAGCAAGGTGATGCCCCCAGGCTCCTGCAGGCTGTGATAAAAGTCCTAGCCCTCATATAAGCAGGCCCCTCACCACTGGGAGTCTTCAAGATTCACGCCACTCTTCCCAGGCTCACTCTGCAGCGGAGAGCCGAGAGCCGTGTTCTTAGGAATGTAAAAAGCCCTTTTGGAAAGACTAACACAGCCACATTTATGGAGATGACTATTTCAGCCCTACTCTGCCTCCTGGTGGCCCCAAACCGCCTCACAACAGTCTTGATCCCACAAACACCAGCCATGCTTCTGTCCCCTGAGCTGTTGTGCCTGTTCCCAGCTGTATGTCCCTTTCCTAGGTTATCCGAGAGGTCAGCCGGCCTATTGGGGGAGCCGAGGGCTTGGAGGCCCCTAGATCCCCAGTCTTCCTGTGCAAGCTGGATCAGGACAAGGTATGTCTATCTCCAGTCATCTCCTCTGGGTAAAGTAGTGGGCACTAGGCACAGGTCACAGCTTGGTGGTGAAGACACACACACACACACACACACACACACCCCTGTGGCACCATACAAGTTCAGCAGCAAAGTGGCAAGTGCCTGTTACTCAGACCTTAGCCTCTGACAACCTGCCTGCCCTAAGAACTAAAGGAGGAGAGATTTATTCTGGCTCAGCCCACAGTCAGCTGGCAGCTGCGAGCTACAGGCCTTGAGTGGGGCTGAGCAGCGTCGGGGTGCTCTATTGCAATAGTAGGAAGGGGTGGGAAACGTGTAGGCAGGCAGTGCAGCTCACCTCATAAAAGGCAAAGCAGACAGAGAGGGAGGAAGGGACCAGGTGTAGCTTCTCTCATACCTGGCCTAACCCGTTCTGTTGCCTCCCCTCAGTTTCAGAGAGTTAATTTTAGCGGTGAGTAATCCCACTGGAAGAAAAGCCCTTAGGAGCCAGTCTCCTCTCAGAAGCCCCACTTCTGGAATGCTTGTGTTGGAGACCGATTTTCCAAAGAGAAAACTGCAACACCAAGTCCAGTAGTAACGAGGGGACAGAGATAGAGGTTAAGCCCACACAGGCTGGCTCTTGAGGGCTCTTCTGTTGCAACGGAGCACCCTGAACAGCCACTGGGCAAATTCTGTAGGCAGGCTCCACCCAAACCAGGCCCTGTGCAGAAACCCGTATGACCCCTGACCTCACTACGCCTACAGCCCAGTGGTCAGGCAGGTGTGAGGCAAAACAGTCAGACTGTGTTGTAACTGCTGCTCTGGGTTCAAGCCAAATGAGGTAGTGCCAGGTTCCTGGTGAGTGTGTGTCAGCGAGGCATGCTCCTGTCTCAGAGGCATGCTCCTAAGGAAGTCAAGTTGCTTCAGACAAGGATCAAGAAAGGCAAAAAATAAAATAAAATAAAGATGCTCTAGCAGCGGGAATGGGCAGCAGAGCAGAGAAACTGGGATTGAGTGGACTGTATGGCTTAGTCTAGAGATGGGGAACTCGTAGAGCTGGCCCTGGACAGGGATGGGAAATGGAAGGGGGAGCTTAGGATGGCTGGAGTACTGGGAAGCATGGCTGCCTGTGCTGAGCCTTAAAGCGTAGACATGATGTAATTGAGCCAAGGGGGCTGAAGGGAGGGAACAGCAAAAGCAAAGATGTGAGGTCAGAAAGACCTCGGGGTTTTGGTCTCAGGTATATAGTGAAGGGGAAGCCCAACCTGCCCATGCTTAGCCTTTGCCAGCAGTGAGGCCCTTAGGAAAAGGACACTGGAAGAGAGGTGTGAATTTGCAGATACCCGCTATGATATGGTGCGGCTCAAAGGCTCTATAGAGCAACAGTCACACAAGCTCTGCAGTGGAGTTCTCTGCCGTGGTGGGTCTACAGGGGGAGGGCACTTGACGTGCTCATGATAGTCTTCTATCATGGAAGAAGAGATGGGGTGTTGGGTTGGTGGGGGTCTCTTTCCATGGGATCACAGAAACTGAGGGAAACATACCTCTCTTGTCCTCACTGCTGTCTTGTACTGCGTTTATCACAAACCATCCCTGGGCCTAGTGGATCCTTCTCAGAATCGGCTGAACAACTATCGTTCTATATTCTTGAAGGACTGGATCTCATATTTAATACTGTCTCAAGTCTGGATGGGCCAAGTTTAGCTTCTTGAAGCAAGATAGTAGTGCATTTCATGGGTTGTCAGAACCAACTTAATCACCTCATAGATTCATGTGGGCCAGCTCTCTGGCGCTTCACAGTGGCTTTCTCAAGTGAGTGTAATTGACATGAGAAGACAGAGCCTTGGGAAGAAGGATTTTTCCCACAGCTAATAAGTAATAGAAGCATTATGATTTCCTCCATCATTTCTGGTCCACCTCCTTTGTAGCATATGAGTAGCATAATTGGCATAATTAATCAGTGAAGGTATGAGTGTTTCACTGTTGATATAATGAGTAAAAATAGTGGAAGCAAAGTTGTGTGTGTGTGTGTTCCTGTTGGCATATAGGAAGCCCGGCGGTTGCTCAGCAACCTCTGAAATCATCACCTGCCACTGCCACCAGGGGCCCAGGATAAAAGACCTGGCTCTTACTGCTAACTCTCTCTCCTCTCTTGCATTCTCTGCCTGTCCCTCCGTCTCCTTCCCCATTTTGCTCTCCCACACTGTCTGTCTGTCTCTCTCATGGCTCACTCAGACTATATCTCCTCTCCCTCTCTCCCCCACTCTTCCTACGATAAACTTTCCTGTACCACACCTGTTGTGTGGCGTGTGGTTTACGTATTGTAACAGTTCCTCATCCTCTCCTTCAAGGTAGAATTATAATGGACTTCTGCTGATCATTGGGTCTTGTGGTGACTCCTTTGAAAACATCTTGTAGCTCATTCCTTTTCCTCTATGATGTCGCCTTGGTCCATCCCTTTCTGGAACTTAATCCTGGCCAACTTGCCCAGTGGCTCTTCAGCATCCCTTTTGTCCATCCCTCTGGTGCTTCTGGGTTGCATTCACATCCCACTTAAATGCTTGCCCAGCTCCCTGCCCCTTGCCAGATACAGCACCTATTCCAGTATGTTGTGATGGATGCACTGTATCTGATGACTCCACTCCGTTGTAGAGTGTAACCTGAAGACATGGCCTTGTCTCCATCAGAGTGTAACCTGAAGACATGGCCATGTCTCCATCGTTGCTACCTTCCTGATAATATTGGTGCGGTATCAGATACTTGATAGCAGCTCCTTGGAGAATTGATGGAAGATTGGGTAAATAAGGGAGTGCTTCTGAGAGTGCCCCCTATGTGACACTGTCTGTGTCCTCCCCAGAGATTGTCCCAAGAGAAACAGAACTCAGACTCTGACAGCCTGGGTATGAATGACAGCAGTTCCACTCTCAGCCGCCGAGAAGCCTGTGAACATGGTAGGAGCTTCCACTAGTCCATGCTGGAGAATGTCAAATGGGAGGGACTTTGCTATAGGTACACAGAGCAGGTCCTGGGGAGCAGAGTAAGGCCTCTCTCTGGGTCTTTCAACTCTAGTAATTATAGGCAAGTTGCAAGGGCTCCTGGGAAGGCCAAAGATGGGTAGAAGTGGGACCATGACCTCCTTCCCCATCCGCTATAACCACTCCTGTGCCACCAGGCAAAGTGAAGAAGAACAGCCTGGCTGAACTGAAGGGCTCCATGAGCAGAGCCGCAGGCCGCAAGATCACACGCATCATCAGTTTCTCCAAAAAGAAGGCGCTGTCTGAGGGCCTGCAGACGTCCAGCGTGGATGAGGTTCCCTGCTGTGGTAAGTGAAGACTCAGAGGAGGCGGTTCAGCGCCTTGAACCCAGGCCCCTGGGGCTGACTCCAGGAGACTCGCCACATCTTAGTCCCTGCCCTTTCCTCTGGATGGCTGGCCTCCACTCTGACAATATCCATGGCATGCATCCCTTCACTCCTGAGGGTGAAAGGGTTGCCTTGGAAGGAAAAAGTGAATGACCATCATATCTATGATTCCTGTGAACCCAGTCAAACCACTGTCCACCCCTAGGCCTCAGTTTCCTCTGCTGGGATCAGAACTTCAAGATTATAGGTCATCTGTGTCTAAATAGTAGGTTTGAGGCCATAGTCCAGCCTGGAGTACATGGACCCTATCTCAAAAAGAAACAACAGTAAATGTATGTAGGTCGCATATAGATGTGTGTGTGGCTTATATCCTGTCCTTTATAAGCTAGGAAAAATAAAAGTTACATAAAAACACGGCTGCTGCTTTTATGGAGCCAGAAGGATTTTAACTCAGTGTGGGGAAACTCTTTGTAGAGACTGGAGTTGCCTCCTTGGAGGGGCAAGCACGTTGAAAGGCAGAGCTTTCTGGTTTGTATACATATAAATGTAACTGTATATAGGTTACAGCCTAGTCTGATTGGGAAGCAGAAGTAAAAATATTAAGTACTTTTTAAGATAAATGCATATTAGTAAAAAAAGGTGTTTGGCAGAGAAGGCATCATTTGTTTCCTACAAGTGCATGCGGTCCATGTACTGTAACCCTGTAACCTGTTTTAAAGGGGACAGGAGCGTGTCTCAGCAGCAGAGCACTTTCCTAGCTGTGTGAGGTCCCGGGTTCCATCCCAGCATAGCAAAAAATAAAAATAAAATAATCTATTTTGGATATGCAAAAATACCCTATTAGTTTAAAAACTATGGCTATAAAGGAATGTTTCACGGTCATTGAATCATAGCATGCTGTGGTTTAAAAAAACAAAAACAAAACAAACAAAAAAACCTTATAATGCTCAGAGCTCCTAACTCCACCTGCGGTCAGCTGCACAGCCCTTTGCTCAGGTTTACAAATGCTTACTGTGGCTAGATGGTGTCGTTTCTACCTGCTGCCACTAGGTGCCAGCATCAGCCATCATTTTCCATCTTTCAGCAACAAATTCAGTTTGGGGAATGATGGGGACAGCTGTAGCTCTTGGACATCTTATCTAGTAGTGTCACTTCCAGCACACTTGAGGCTGTGAAAGGATGCGCGAATGGCATCGTCAGTGTGCGCCCACAGCTAGGCAGCTGAGCCTCAAAGGAGGGGTGCCAGGCCTTCCTGCCAGCTAGATCACAAGGTTTGTGTAGATAGCCCTTAGCGCCTTCAACCAAGGAGCTATAAAGAGGTCATTTCGCTGTCTCCCGTTCCAGGCTACCTCAATGTGCTGGTAAACCAAGGCTGGAAGGAACGGTGGTGCCGCCTCAAGTGCAACACTCTCTATTTCCACAAAGACCGCACAGACCTGCATACCCACGTGAATGCCATTGCCCTCGGGGGCTGTGAGGTAGCCCCAGGTTTTGGACCCAGGCACCCATTTGCCTTCCGGATCTTGCGCAATCGGCAGGAGGTGGCCATCCTGGAGGTGAGAGGAGAGGGTTCAGAGCCCCGAGGGTGGTGGTCAGGTTGCTACCCTACTATAGGACCTTTGGGACAGGAACCCAAAGGGCTTGTCAGGTAACAGAGGGGACACCCCAGGGTATGCTGGAATTCCAGATAAACAAGGAGTCGTGTTTTTACTATGAAAGTATCCCAGGCAGCTTGGAGACACACCTAGACTGAAAGGTTATATGTTATTTATCTGAAGTTCAAACCCAACAGAGCACTCTGTGTTTTTATATCCTAATTCTGGCAGCCCTAATCCTAGAGCCCAGGTTTGTTTATTTGCCCTGACCTTAAAGTTCCAGGTCTAACAGGCACCTCCTGTGCTCTGACTGGGATCTGATCCTGGAGTTCTCGCTCAAACCTTCCCCGCAGAGTCATCAACCTCAGAGAAACCGCTGCGCTTCAAGGTGGCCCATCCTTCCCCCTGAGCAACTCCAGGCCCTAGGAAGAGTTTTCCCACACTGAGTTCAGATCCTTCCGGCTCCGTACTAGCAGGACCACAGCCATGTTTTTGTACAGTATTTACTTTTCTAGATCCCTGCACAATGTCCAGCGCATACTGAGCTCAGCAAACACGTGGTGAACAATGGCATGTGGTACTTGCTCACTACCCTTCCTACCTGCCGGCACCACCCTCCTCTCTGAGATTGTTCAGAGCACACAGGCAACCCTCCATGTGACAGCCCTTTGGCTGTTTAGAACTCAGAATGTTGACACAAGGGGAAGGTTCAGATGTCTACCTCCCTGTGTTATAGACAAACAAAGGCCAGGGCAGCTTTTCAAAGCTCCCAGTGGAGTGCCAGTAGCCTCCCCATCTGCCTGTTTTTCAGTTTCAAGAACTATTATGTCTGCACCTTGCTTTTGAGTCTCTCATTTCCCTTAACTTATACCATTTTCTAGGTGTCCCCCCCCCCTTTTAAAAGGGTGCTTTACTTATTCCTTTATTCAAGTTTGCCATTACTAGCCGTCTTAGGGTTTTGTTGCTGTGAAGAGACAACATGACCATGACAGCTCTTACAAAGAAAAATAATTAATCGGGCTGGCTTACAGTTTTAGGGGTTTAGTCTATTATCATCATGGTGGGAAACCTGGTGGCAAGCAAGGAGACATGGTGCTGGAGAAGGAGCTCAGAATTCAACAACTTGGGCAGCAGAAGGAGACTTTATTCCACTCTGGCCATAGCTTGAGCATATTAGAGCTCAAAGCCCACCCCCACAGTGACGCACTTCCTCCAACAAGGCCACACCTACTCCAACAAGGCCACACCTCCTAATCGTGCCACTTCCTGTGATTAAGCATCCAAACACATGAGTCTATGGAGGTCATTCCTGTTCAAACCACCACACTAACTAAGTTGATTTTATGATAATGCTCTTTAAATCAAAATTAAGTGTATGTTTAACTAACCAGGAGGGGGTTGTTTTGTTTTGTTTTGTTTTTGAGGATTTTCTTCTACGTGGTGCTATCATGCTTTGTTAATTATAGCCTAAGAAGAAGTTTCAGTTATAGGAGCAATTTCCTATTTAGAGAACTAATTATAAATATAGAGGTTGGAGAGATGGCTCAGCCGTTGACAGCACTTGCTGCTTTGGCAGAGAGCCCTGTTGTGATTCCCAGCACCCACAGAGTGGCTCACAACCATCTGTAACAGTTCCAGGAGATCTGATACCCTTCTCTGCCTTCTGCAGATGCCAGGCATGAGTGCAGTACAAGTACTTACACGAAGGCAAAGGAGTCATAACATAAAAACAATTTTAAAGCATTTTTTAAAAAGGCTGGTTATGTGGCTCAGTGGTAGAGCCAGGCCTTGAATACACAAGGCCCTGGGTTTGGTCCCCAGCCTGGAAGAAGAAAAGGAAGTTTTGAGAACATGTAAATATTTTTACATCCAAATGGTCGGATGTAAAAACCCAGAGTAGGGTGGGTAGGGGTATTCCATCTTATAGAATCAATCAAGGAGGACCCCTCAGAGGAGGTAGCTTTTGAGTAGATACTTGAGAGAATTTGGGAGCCTCAGATTTAAAAAAAAAAAAAAACAACAACAACAACAACAACAAAACATTTATCTTTATTTTCTGTGCATTAGCATGACAGTGTCAGATTCCTTGGGATGGGCATTACAGACAGTTGTAAGGTGCCATGTGGGTGCTGGGAATGAAACCCATGTCCTTTGGAAGAACAGACAATGCTCTTAACCACTGAGCCATCTCTCCAGCCCAAGCCTCAAATTTCTGTATGTGTCTAATCTAATCCTTTTTCCATGCCTAAGTACTGAATACTTAGAAATACTGTGGGTTTCTCTGATACGAGCAAGCAGGCAGAAGGCTTCACGGTGTGAAAGTGAACTCCACTGTGCCTCCTCTCCCCAGGCAAGCTGCTCAGAGGACATGGGCCGCTGGCTCGGGCTGCTGCTGGTGGAAATGGGTTCCAAAGTCACCCCGGAGGCACTGCACTACGACTATGTGGACGTGGAGACCTTAACCAGCATCGTCAGTGCTGGGCGCAACTCCTTCCTGTAAGGGTGATTCTCTGTCCACTCCTGCCAGGGTATTCCTGTCTCAGCTCCATTTCCGAGGTTCTGTACGCGGCCTTGAGCCCTGGGACCGGAAGGGGAGGGGCAAGTTCAGGAAGTCTGCTTCCTTGAGGAGGATGGCCCCATCACCGTGCGTGGAGAAGCATGGCTGGCTGATGCTCGTCATTCTGGAGCTTGGCTTCAGACGTAACAAAGGATGGTGGGCATGAGCCATCTGTTGTCAGACTTGTGAGGCTCACACATCCCTATGTAGTCCTCACAAGCACATGACCTTTTGATCTACATTAAAAATTGCTGCCAACATCAAATGAGGGAGGTCAGGAAGGCAGCATAAGCCACAGAGTGTCACCAAGATCATTATATCTGTCATGTTCTAGGTATGCACAATCCTGCCAGGACCAGTGGCCCGAGCCCCGTGTCTACGATGAGGTTCCTTATGAGAAGGTGCAGGTACGGTCCACGGCTTAGCAGTGTGGTAGAAACTGCCTTCACTCACCCTGCCAGCCCTCAGCAGCATGCCCCGTGCCTTCTCCTGGGGAAGAACTAGAAGACAGGCACAACGCACCCAGACACGTGTGGGTGGGCAGCACCTAGAGTACAGGGAACAGAGCTTGCAAGGACCCTGAACCAGATAACACACTGAGCTCTCACCTCCATGATCCCCCTTTACATCCCCAGCCTGCCCTTTTGTTCTTCCCAAGGATTTCTGGAATGCAACTTGAAGGTTTTACTCTGTTGCAGAGAAGCTAATAGCTGGGTGGCTTGCCACTCAGATATGAAGGCTGCAATCAGAGGGACCTCGGCCTTGCTTCTCAGATCCTGCTTCTCACTTCCCAGATCCACGTGGGTGTATAGGTCCCTTCTAGAGTGTTTTGAGAACAAAATGAAATGATCTGTGTTTAAAAAGAAGGCAATTAGCACAGTTGCCCAGACAGTGGAACGTTCTGTACAGAAAAATAAAGAGTGCTGTTCAGAATTTGATGTTATATGACAATGATGTGTCACACCAGGCTTCCAACACTTTGGCTGGACTTGGAGCATGGGAAATACCCTGAAGGCACAAATATGCAGCCAGTTTATTAAGTTGTATTACTTCTGTCATTGGCTCCTCTCATCCATGGCATTGCTTCCCTCCTTCCCTTCCTCCTCCCCTTCTGAGGGAAGACTGTGTATTAGCAATTCAGAAAATAGAAGAATGTTTTCAAAGGATATGAGGACAAAAGGCCACCCACAGTTTCCAGCCTTCTACTGTGTCTCTCACTAAGTACCGTGGCTTAAGTTTGCCTTAAAGGTATGAGGTTCAAATGACAGTGCTAGTGAAGGTGGTCTGTAAACTGTAGAGTGCTGCACCAGTCTCTCTGTGTAAGACCAAGCTCACAAAGGTGCCGGCCAGAAGCTCCTTGCCTGAATGGGCTGAACCCTGACTGTACTTAACCTCCTTCCTCTGTCCCCCTTGCCCAGGATGAGGAGCCTCAGCGGCCCAGTGGGGCTCAGGTGAAGCGCCACGCCTCCTCCTGCAGTGAGAAGTCCCATCGTGCGGACCCACAGGTCAAAGTCAAGCGCCATGCCTCCAGTGAGTTCTATGACCTTTTCCTGATGAAGGGCAGTAGGGTAGAACATTGCAGAGGTCTCAAGACCAGATTTTCCCAGGAGTGAGGTTGCAAAATGAGAGAGTAAAGCAGCAAGTATGTCAGTAAATACCTGTCTTAAGGAAGGTAATGGGGGCTGGGCAGTGTGGGGGCACTTGCTGGTTGTGGTGAGACCTAAGGTCCCAGTCCTGAGCATAGCAATAGAAACAAAAAAAAAAGTAGCAACGTAAGCAGGGTGGTAAAGGGCAGAGAGCAGGTGAATGGGGGAGGAAGGTTGGCAGAGAGACTACAGTGCTTACATCCTATTCCAGAGGCAGACCCTACTTGGCTTCTCCATGAGACCCATGTAGCATTTACTGATGATTCAGAAGGCCAGAAGTTAAATTTGATGTGAATTCTTAGTTTTGTTTCTTTTCCTTTCTTTCTTTTTTCTTCCTTCCTCCCTTCCTTCCTCCCTTCTCTCTCTCTCTCTCTCTCTCTCACTTTCTTTCTTGAGATAGGCTATCTCTATATAGCCCTGGCTGTCCTGGAACAGGCTGGCCTCCAACTCAGAGATCTTGCCTCCCTCTGCCTCCCAAGGGCTGGGACTAAAGGTGTGCGCTGCTTCTACCCAGCATGTGAATTTCTAATATTAGCTGCTAACTTAAATGTTTTTATACTGCATGAGTATTGTCTGTATAACAGTTGAGTATTCAAATGTATATATGCATATATAGGTATATGTAAATGTGTGTGCATAGAGAAAGAGAGAGAGAGCTCATCTCTAAGCCTATCTTTTCCAGAAGCCCCAGTTTTGGCCTCTGATCTAGAGTAGTAAGCAGAGAACCAATCCCTCCACCGTCCACCAGCAGCACCACAAGATCTGCAGCTCATCCCTGTGTCCCCACGTGCTCTCCATACCACACAAGGGACTCAGGAGCCACTTTTCTGTCCCTTGCTCCATAGCATTAGTATAAACCATTGCTCTTGGGATTCAGGAGATCTGTTCCTCACTTGGCTGACACCTTGCTCTGTAACTTTGAACAAGTCCTTTCTCCTTTCTGACTCCCTCAGAATAAGGGGATGTAGAGCATTCTTGAGAAGCTTCACACACAGGCACTGGAAACACGGGGCTTTGAAATAGAAAATTGTGCTTCATGTAATAGACATGCTGCGGTCTCAGTGCACGGGGGGGAGAAGGAGAACCAGTGCAAGCTCCAGGCCAGCCTTGTCTGCATGAATAAAAAGGGCAACTAGTGAGACCCTGTCATGAAAAAATCATCGGCATAGTGAGGTCTCACTAACTGGCCTTGAATCCCACAACTCAGGAGGCAGAGGCAGGCAGATCTCTGTGAGTCTGAGGCCAGCCTGATCTACATAGTGAGAAACTGTCTTGAAAAAACAAAAAATAAAATAACAAAATAAAAGTCAATGGATAAGCAAAGGAGAAAACTGAAGTTAACATGTGAGAGTAAAGACATCATAACATGGCCAGGCCATGATGGCACACACCTCTAATTCCAGCACTCAGGAGACAGAAGCAGGAGGATCATGTGAGTTTGAGGCCAGCCTGGTCTACAGAACTAGTTCTAGGACAGCCAAAATATGCAAAGAAACCATGTCACAAAAAAACAAGAAGAAAGAGAGAGGGAAGGAGAAGGAGAGGGGGGGAGCGAAGAAGGGAAGGAAAGGGAAAAAAATGTAAAAAAAAAAGTAAAAGCCCACACCTATTTTCAAGTCAAATCTTTCACAAAAGGCCAATTATTGATCTGTGAGAATGGGTCTGGTCTGGCTGAGGCTCATCAGCCTCCTCATTCCAAGGGCCTGCTGAAGTCACATGGAGGGACTAGAAGCCACATGGAAACCCCTAGTGTAGTCCGGTGACATATTAGGCACACACGAGGAAAGCTGTCCTGGTCCTCAGTCTGCTGTAACAAAAATCCTAACCTAGATAACATACAGCTCGTTTCTCCTAGATTTGGTAGCTGGCTGGGGTCCAAGTCAGCAGGCATATAGTGTCTGTGAGGGCCATTTCCTGTTGGATAGGCTTGCTCTCTTCTGAGGCCACTGATGTCATATATAAAGATTCTGTGCTTCTGACCTCATCAGCTAGAGTCAGACAAATACATGTTTACCTTGCCTCTAGTGCCAGTAACTGTGGGACCTTTCTGTGCCTGGCTTCCTCGCCTGTGAAAGAGTAATAAAGACACCCAGCTAATAATAAGTAGAGCCAAACAGGTTAAACAGTGAATAATAAAGTAGAGGAAGGCTAAATGGGAAATTCAAGGAAGTGGCTGAGCGTGTAGCATACATGGAGTAAGCAATGCATTGGTTGCTTGCTGTCTGCCATTGTGTTGGACCTACAGTACACTCCTGGAGCTCTCTTCCTACCTTCCCTTCCCCAGCAATGCAATGAGCAATGCCTGACACTGACCTAGGTCTGTCTGAATTATATGTAAATATCTCCCTTTATTGCAGATACTTGCCTCATTCAAAGCACACTTTTAACAAAGCAAAATGGGTTACATATCACAAAATTTTATTATATGATACTAATGCCCCACCTGCAGCTTCCACCTGAGGTGCCTGTACCCTCTCAGCTACCACCTGAGATGCCCTATTATCAGTATCTTTATTTGTGCAAAGGGATACTGAGGTTTGGGGGAAAGGGACAAAAGCACACCAATCATTTCTGTTTGAAGTCACACACCCAGTAAAGAATGAATGCAAACTCTGATCTACCTGGCTCTGAGTCCCTGTGCTGTGCTGCCTCCCTGTTGCTGCTTATTTCCTCAGGAGATTCACGCTAAACCTATACATCCATATTTTATAGGTGCAGCTGAGGTGAAAGGCAAGCTAACACCACATATGCACCTCACCAGCAGTCAGACCTGAGGGGCTCTTGCTTTCCTGTATCTCTGCAGGTGCCAACCAATACAAATACGGCAAGAACCGGGCAGAGGAGGACGCCCGTAGATACCTGGTAGAAAAAGAGAGGCTGGAGAAAGAGAAGGAGATGATTCGGACAGAACTGATGGCCTTGCGACAGGAGAAGAAGGCGCTGAAGGAAGCCATTCGGAACAACCCAGGTACCTGTTGAGGTGTGGCCCGGAATGCACAGGCAGGGGGGTCTCACCCTGAGCACTTGTCCTGGAACAGTAAGGGGAAGCCTCTTCCCCAGATTTCCTGGTTTCCCACCCAGGAGAGGTGATCTCCTCCCTCTCCTCATTATCATTCACCCTGACTCAAGAAAGTGCTGGCAGTTGAGTAACTGCTTCAGATAGAGGTGGAGAGCACCCCAGTAAAAGACAAAGCAGTGTGGAGAGCAGACGATTGCCCCAGCATCTCAGAAGTAAGACTTCATTCATTCACTCAGATGTAAGACAGTAGCCCGATGCTAGGTTTGATAAGCAGTGCTATTTTCCAGGATCCTCTTCTGAAGTCCCGAGACTTCACCAGCCCCTGCCTGCTCTGGGCTTCTCTAGTCCCATTTTCCACTGTGTTTTTTTGTAGCTCCCCACACTTCTGCCTAGGTGTCTCCCACATGTTCTCGGGAACAGGAAGTTCTGCCTTACAAAGTACACACAGCCCTTAGGGAGCATAGAACCTACGCACCCTTCCCAAAGAACAAAATACACATCAAAATGGTACAGACAAATTCAGCAGCCCAACCTTAGAGCCCACCCATAGATCACAGTGGGCCTAACATGAGGACTTCTGGTTTAGAGAATGAACACATGGAGCAGGGAATGACAAAACATGTCCTAAGTCCCAGCACTCAGGTGGCAGAGGCAGGTGGATCTCTGTGAGTGGGAAGCTAGCTTGGTTTACATATCAAGTTCCAGGACAGCCAAGGCTGCCTAGTGAGACCATGTATCAGAGAGAGACAGAGATGGGAGGGGGGCAGAGGGAAGAGAGAAAGAGAGATTGAAAGAGAAAATAAACACACAGGAGGATAGCAAAGGAAAGCCATTTGGTTTCAGTACAAGAAAACTTTTGGGGGCTAGAGATGTAACTCAGTGGTAGAGCAGTTGTCCAGCATGTGCAGTACCCTGGAGTCAGTCCTCTTAGAGAGAGAGAGAGAGAGAGAGAGAGAGAGATATGGTAGGAACTTTCTAGAATTAAGAGCCATGATTTGGAACAAACTATCCTATCTCCCATACCAATGAATGAATGAATGAATGAATGAATGAATGAATGAATGAATGACAGGAACTTTACAGAGGTAAAAAAACAGACTAACTATTCTAGACAATGTTTTTGTCAATACTGCTTTGCAGTATAGATAAGTTTATTATATTCATTACTCTTACTTATGTTTGTCACATACATATAGATAATAAGATCCATAAAAGCAAAGAGCCTTGCCTGTTTTCTTTGATGATCCATATCAAAGGTCTAGGACAGTGCTAGAAAGAGTTCAGTAAACAACTACTAAAACAATGAATGGACACATTTAACATTACTGTAAAACCTAATGTAAGTTAAAGGTTGGGGAGACCTGGACTGAGCTAGAGCTGTGGCTTTTGGTGTAATGCTTTCTGGCATTCACAAAGCCCCAGGTAGACCAGGTATGGCAGCACATACCATAATCCTGAAGCTCTGGAGGCAGGATGATCAGAATTTGAGGTCATTTTCTACTGTATAGTCTGAGGCAAGCCCCGGCTACATGAGACCCTGGGTTTTGTTTTGTTTTTTAAGATTTTTTTTAATGGGAAGCTGTAGATATAGCTCTATGGCAGATCTCTTCCTTGAGTGCAAGCCCTTAAATTCAGTGTACACACACAGAAATGGAGTTTCTTCACATGGCAGAAATAGTAATGAAACTTTTTCGGCTTAAACTAAATAAGCAGCAAGGTCCTCCTGAAAAACCTGTTCTGTGGAAAGCTCTGTATCATGACTCTAGTTCAGAAGTCACAGAAACCAAAATCACACTGGCATAGAAACAAAAATGCAATCTGAAAACTGAGCGCTCAGGTATGTGAGGTGAAGTGCGGGGAAACAAATGATTTCATTCATTTCCCCTTTGTGGTGATATAGTGGCCGCACAGTGCAAGCCTTCACCCAGTCCTTCTGGAAACTCCAGTGGCCACCACCAAAAATCTCAACATCCGCTCCATTTGAACCAGCTCTAAACCATCACTGTAAATGGAAGATGGGAGGTGATTATGGGCCAGGCCCGAGTTCCATGGGACCAACCCACTCAAGGAACACATAGGGAATGAGAGGGTGGCGATGGTTCTGCAGTGAAATAGTAGGGTGCTGTTTCCCGAAGGTGGAGGCCGAGCAGATAAAGGCTACACCACAGAGTGTGGCTGGCAACCCACTTCAAAGTCCATCTTCTAACTGAAGCTGTAGTGCTAGAAAGGCCCTCCAGAAAAGACAGAGAGGGCATGAGGCCCCCGCTCACTTTCTCATCAGTGTCTCTGGACTCAGGAGCAAAGATGAAGGCTTTGGAGGAGGCTGTGGCCACTGTGGAAGCACAGTGTCGTGCGAAGGAAGAACAGAGGATCGACCTGGAGCTGAAGCTGGTGGCTGTGAAGGAGCGCTTGCAACAGTCCCTGGCAGGGGGCCCGGCCCTGGGCCTGTCTGTGAGCAGCAAGAGTAAGAGCCAGGTGAGTCCAGTGTCGTCTCCGTGGGGCAGCCACTTCCGAGCTCCTCACACCGTGCATACCCCACCATGTTTATTCTCACTTCGCTATGACAGAAGTGTCTCCAGAAAACGCCAGCTGTCCCAGGATTCCCCATTAGGATGCACTGCTATAAACTGCCAATGGTCATATCCATTCTTCATCTGCATAGCACTGAACCACTAGAGAGAGAGACAAACAGAGAGAGGAATAGAAAGAGAACATACATGTGTGTGTCCTTATTCATAGAATGTGTCTCCTGCCGCAAGTAATTTAATGTGTTTATTAAAAAGTGAGGGGTCGTCTGGAGAGATGACTTAGGGGTTAAGAGCACTGGCTTTTCCCCCAAATGTCCTGAGTTCAATTCCCAGCAACCACATGGTGGCTCATAACCATCTATAATGAGATCTGGTGCCCTCTTCTGGCCTGCAGGCACACATGCAAGCAGAATACTGTATAAAAAATAAATAAATCTTTTTTTTTTTAATTGAGGGATAGAATAGGGTTATAGTGCAATAAAGCCCATGCCTGGCATGTATGAGGCATGAGACCATTGGCACCAAAAACAACCCACAAGAGTTAGACAGTGTTTATCATATCCTTAGCCTCATGCAGAGTCAGGATGATTGGAGTATAGCAAAGTGTTGGGTTTCTGATTAATTAAATGCCTTCCCTGCTCTCACACAACACTGACTTGTCTGATAAGTATCAGTTGTCATTGGGAACTGTGTTTCAAGCCACTCTATATGGGCAGACCACAGCCTATGATCTGAAGCCACCCAACACTTCCTCTCTTTCGGGGTACTGCTAGCCTCGTTTTACAGATGGAGCCTAATTCATAGAGGGCTAGGGAAACGGCAAGAACCCATTCCTTCATCCCAGCTGCTGCTGCTCAGCTGCACACTCAATGTTTTCCTTGAGTCCTTTTGATATCCTTTGGAGATAGAAAAATTAATTCTTTTTTAAATTCTTGCAGAGTTAGCTGTTAGGATTTCACACTGCCTTTGGTAGAGTACTATTGCTATAATGAAACATCATTACCAAAAAGCAAGTTGGAAAGGAAAGGGTTTGTATTTGGCTTATACTTCCACATCAAAATCCATCCTAGAAGGAAGCCAGGACAGGAACTCAGACAGGACAGGAACCTGGAGGCAGGAGCTGATGCAGAGGCCACGAGGTTTACTAGTTTCCCTCTGGCTTGCTCAGCCTGCTTTCTTATAGAACCAGGGCCACCAGCCCAACTGCAGTGGGTGGGTCGCACGTCAACCACTAGTTAAGAAAATACCTTACAGCTGGATCTTATGGAGGCATTTTCTCACCTGAGGCTCCCTCTGCTCAGAAGCTTGTGTAAAGTTAACATAAAAGTAGACAGCACAGGCACAGTGGTGCACACCCGTAATCCCAGCACTTAGGGAGGCAGAGGCAGGCAGATCTCTGTGAGGTCGAGGCCAGCCTGGTCTGCAAAGTGAGTGTAGGACAGCCAAGGATACACAAAGAAACCTGTCTTGAAAAACCAAAAAGAAGAAAGTAGACAGCACAAACACTTATGCAGCTGAATATTAAGCAATTAGCTGGAAGATTTAACAGTGAGGATAGAATTGAAAATAAGACAGAATACCAGAGAGAAGTTATTTTAAGCACATATGTGTGAAGCTCTGTGTTTAATCCCTAGCAGCACCACCCAAAAGAAACTGCAGCTACAGGATTTGAGTCTCATCTCTCATACTAAGAAACTTTGTGACCATGCACAGAAACTTGATCTTCCTGATTTCATCTATAAAATGGGGTGATTAAGTAAGAGTACCTACATCACAGGCTTGTGGGAAAACCCACTCATAAAAGGCCTGCCTGCTGCATGGAGAGGGTTCTGTGATTTTTGCCTGTCACTCTCTTTACTCCAAAGGCCTCAGCATATTCTGGCCAACCCCACCCCCTGCCCTGTTCAGCTGGCATGTTTGTCTAGTGCTTTCTAATTTAAAGTTCACTCATCTTTCTAAGGGTAGGTTGGATTCAAATAGCCAGCACTGTATCTCACCTACTTAACGGTTTTACTTTGTTTGCCATTAGCAGGAAACTACAAATAAACCCCAAAGCAATGTCCCAGAGCAATCTCTCCCTGTCAACTGTGTTTCTGAGCTGAGAAAGAGGAGTCCATCCATTGTAACCTCCAACCAAGGAAGGGTGCTACAGAAGGCCAAGGTAAACCAAGATCTGAGTTAATGGCAAGTCACACCTCTGGATCTCTTTATACAGAACCTATCCCAGAACACTGCCTAGGGAGAAAGACAGGGAACTGCTAGATAGCCATACAGTAAAGCCAGAGTCCTCACTGACATGGCTCTATCACGCTGTCATCTGGTTTCTGTCAGCATTTCGAGGTAGTAAGGAGACATGGTCGGGTAGTGGAGCTGGCCCAAGGCTAAGCAAGGAACCAACACAAGGGCAGACAGGCTCAGGGCTCACTTTATGAAGCTGGTCCTCAACCTTTCCTCTGTAATTCTTGGAGACAGCTGTTAAGAACATTTGGGGCTTTAGAAAGGCATTATGTATTCCAACACATTTCTCAAGACACAAATCACTCTATAGTAGGTTATAAGAACACACACCATAGAGCAGAAAACACTTTACATCAGATTTTGACACCAAGTCAGTTTGTGCCAAAACACCTAGAAAATATGCCTATTTCAGGATTTTCTGGTAAACTGATACAGGTAAGATGGTGTGGAACTGAAAAACAAATGTTCAGCACTGGGCATATCACATGCCTGCAATCCTAGCATCTGACAGGGGGAATCACAATTTCTAGACCAGCGTGGACTATGTGTTAGTATTTTGGAACACAACCTGCTGCTGGGTTACCCAGCAACTTATGATGTCATCATGTGTCGCTGCCCAGGTAGCCACACCTGGAAGGCATTACCTTGCCCCTTAAAGGGACAACCCCGACACGTGGTCACTCTCTTACTCTCCTCCTCTAACTCTTACTCTCTCATTTCTCTCTCTCTCGCGCGCGCGCTCTCTCTCTCTCTCAGCACCCCCTTTCCCTTTCTTTCTCTCTCCCCATCATGGCCTGTTCCCCCACTCCCTCCATATCCACCTAATAAACCTCTTGCATAGAAGATCGGTTGACCAGTCTCATTCTTCTTTTAATAGAGCTAACACTATGTAGTAAGACCCTATCTCTAAAAATAATAAGAAGAAGATATTAAGCTCAGCCAGAGTGCCCAGTAAGCCTCATGGGAAACTAATACTGACATCTTCTTGGGTAGTTTAATCTCAACCAAAAGGTATGGAGTCCAATGGATTTTCTCTTCTTTAAGATGAAAATCTACATCTGGGCATGGTGGTGAGCGCCTGTGCTTTAATCTCAGCACTTGGGAGGCAGAGGCAGGTGGATCTCAAGGCCAGCCTGGTCTACAGAGTTCTAGGACAGCTAGAACAACACAGAGAAATCTTGTCTCAAAAAATAAAAAACAAAACAAACGGTACATAGCAAGGAGCCCAAACAAGTCTTTCTTTCCCTGGTGGATTTGGGAAGATAATACCTCACATGCATACAGAAATGAAGACTATGAAGCCAGGCCATAGTAAGTACTTTGAAGTAAAATTAAGCAGGGGAAGAGGAGGAAATGTGACAAGTGGTTGGGGTGGTCATTTTAATCATTGATAGCAAATGCCTTTGCAGTGGGTCATAGACAAGCAGAGTGTGAGGGAGTCAGATGGGGTTGGAGGGAAGGGTAATCCAGAAAGAGAAAAGCATGTGACAAGTTGCTTGTTCGTGGACAATCAGGCAGAAGGGTGAGCATATGTACTAAGAGTGAGACCCAAGAAGGAATGGCCAGGCCACAGCAGCTAGGCCCAGGAGCTAACAAACCTTTCCTGTGAGGGGAAAAGACCCTCACAGGAAATATTTTAGATTTTGTAGGCTATATAGTTTGTTTCACGTCTACAAAGCAGCCCCAGCCGATAACTAACACATGAAGAGTATTACTGTCTCCCAGTAAAGCTTTACTTATGGGCACTGAAATTTCAATTCTGTATCACTTGTCACAAAATACTGTTATTCTTCTGTTATTTTTCCCAGACCTTGGAAATGTGACAAAAACTCTTAGTTGACAGGCTGTATGAAAGCAGGTGAGACAGACTGTGTCACTAGACTACAGCCAGTTCCTCATGTATAGACCTCAGGCCAGTGGAGGAACTATGGGTTTAATATACTGGGAAGATTTGAGCAGACTTTTGGGGTTGTTTTTTTTTTTGATGTTTTTTTTTTTTTTTTTCAAGACAGGCTTCTCTATGAAGTCCTGGCTGTCCTCGAACTTGCTCTGTAGACCAGGCTGGCCTCAAACTCAAGATATGCCTGCCTTTGCCTCCCAGGTGCTGGGATTAAAGGCATGTGCCACCACTGCCCAGCTTGAGCAATTTTTTTTTAATACCAAGTGCATTTTTCAAAGGCCATTCTGGGATTTGGAAAGATGGCTCAGTGGTTAAGAACAGTTGTCTTTGCAGAGGACTTGGGTTCAGTTCCCAGCACCTACATGGCTACTTACAATCATGTGTAACTCCATTACCAAGGCATCTGATGTCATCTCTTCTGACCTCCATCAGAAGGCACACACATGGCGCACAGACAGACATGCAAGCAAAACACTCAAACACATAAAATAAATCAGTAAAACACTTAAAAAATATCCTGGCTAGGTATGTAATCCCAGTACTGTAGAGGCTGAGGCAGGAGGATCACCGTAAGTTTGAGGCCAGCCTGATCTACACAGTGAAACCTTGTCATCACCACAACACAACAAAAACCTATCTTGACCACTTTGCTGAGAATAGAGAAAGGGACTTAAAGCTACAGAGAGACCGAGGATTAGGGCCCCAGGGAGCTATTCACACAAGAGTGCAATGAGTGAGTATTCCTATCTACACTCCCACTAGAACATTCAACAAACTGATTTTTCTCATCTTTCTGTGCTTTAGGAATGGGAAATGAAGAAGACCTAGAAAGGGTGAGAATCCCATCCTGAAGGAATATCAGCTTGTCCATCTAAGAAGGAAATGCTTTCTTCACAGAGACATCAAGAAAAGACTGGGGCACCCAAAAGACCAGCTTGACTGCATGATTTTAGGGCTTGTGGGAAGGGAAAAGTGGAGGCATCCTTCAGGCTTTTCAAAGTGTGGAGGTGGGAGTAGCAGGAGATAGAAGTGTGCAGAGTTGTAAAGATTATGTTAGTATCTTTGCCTTCTGAAGCAATGAAAGCGCATAAGTCATTCCATCCTTTCCTGGCATCCCAATCCCAGTCTCAGTCCTTAAGGCAAAGGAAGACAGTGTTGAAGCCCTGCTAGTGTCTGATGAAAGAAAACACTGTCACCTGATCACCCTCAGGCAAGCATTCCTACTGGGCATTACAGACAATCTCAGGGCATGAATAATGGGCTGGACAATTAATATATCCTTGCCTGCACAACAATGAGCAAAAGCTATTGAGAACATAAAAATTCCACAGTCGTTCTTCATCTGTCTTAGAGCCAGGCAGACTAAAGCCACTAGAACCTTCCAGGTTTAAATATTCTAAAATCAGAATATCTGAGAATTCAGAGGGTAAAGACAGTTGATCCGCTGGCACATTTTAAACTCACAGTGGCAAAAGTATGGAGTTCTCATGCCAACACACTGTTGCATGCACTAGAGGGTGGAGTCATTTGCTGTCAGTCAAGTCCTTGCCTATTTAATGTGACTTTGAGGCTCCCGAGACTGTGGTTGGAGACTAAGTCTTTAGCCCAAGGAGTCTTCATCTTGTACTAGAAGGCCCACAAACCTGTTTCCTTATCTGCTGCAAAGTGAGAATATTAAGGAAAGCCAACAGGATGGTGCCCCAGGGGTGCTAAGCCTTTTCCAAACACTTGATTTTTCTAAACCTTACATCCTAGGCACCCTCTTTCTATGCCACTCATAACTGTCTCAACACTGGGCTTTTGGGTCTGTTTTTTTAATGTATTCATCTCCAATAAAGATGAAACTGTTCAGCTCTTAGAGGTCAGAGCATAGCTGGCACTGTGTGTCTCAGAATAAGCAGTGGATGGTTTGCCAGCCTTGAAATGTTGCCCACCTAAGGCTTACCATACTTCAGCCTTACCGAAACCTTACCAGCCTTTGAAGTAGCTGGAGACCACAGCAGGAAAATCACCCCACCAGTCACCTCCCTGGTAGGTCACCTCACTGGTAGGACATGTACATTAGGGCTCACTGCCCTGGGTCCCAGGTAGGGCTGTCTGCTGCTAACTGAAGGATCATCTCAGCAAAGTAGTTCAACCCCTCTGGTTCTCATTGTGAGAACAGGCTAAGTGATTGTATACTCTTCCCAAGACTCCTGGTGGGTATTTAATGAGATAATTAATGGGGAGCGTCTTCTATGTTGTTTCAAGTTGAAAATACCAAGTCACGGGTAGACTTTAATATCAATAAGATGAGAAATGTCTGATCCTTTGTTCTTTCTTTAAAAGAAAAAAAATGATTTAAATAGTAACAGGTATCAAAAGGCATCTACTCCAAAGGGAAGGTTTTCATTCCAAATTCCACCTGTGTCTTCAGTGACAAAGAGCCCACATTTGGGTTGCCAGTGCTTTTTAAAAAGATGTATATTCTGCAATGGTGCCCACCACTGTGTCTTAAGTATCCATTACATCCTTTCTTGGGCAGTTATTTTAGGGTTAAATGCCTTTCCCACAAGTAGATCTTAAACTCAAAGAAGGGTCCTGCATCAGTAATCATCATGAGGACATACCACCTGCCAAGCACTAAGCCTTTGTCTCCTCAAGCCCATTTTCAGAGCACATCTAGTGCCCACCTTCTAGAAAATGTTTCTCCTTAGCCATTTTTGAAGAAGAGGTCCAGCATTTTTCTCTTGTCTTTTAAATAGTGTATCCAGAATCAAGCAAGATGACTCAGAGGGTGTAAAGGAGCTTGCTGCCAAGTCTGAGGACCTGAGTTTGATCCTCAGAACCCACATGCTGAAAGGAAGGAGAGAACTAATTCCCATAAATAGCCTCTGCCCTCCACTTTTTGGCACTCTTGCCCACCTGTACCTAAACACTGTGCATGTGCGCACACACTCTAAATAAATGTTTAAAAAAATTTTTTAATAGTAGCTAGCCCTGTATTTATTGCCTTTCTAAGCATTATGCCAGTACTTTACACTAAGATTCTGTGAGATCAGTCAAAAGAACATTTATTCATTCATTCATTCATTCATTTATTCATTCATTCATTTATTTATTTGTTTGTTTGTTTGTTTGTAGTTCGGTGTGATTCTAGAACCCTTAATTCCTAACTCCACATTTCCATTTCTTCTGTGGATCTCCATTCAGAAGCATACTTGTACCTAATAAATACATGAATAAAAGTCAAATTCAAGGTTAGCCAGTTTTAGGCCAACCAGAACTACACAGACCATCTCAAAACCCACACATGCACATATATATGTACTTGTATACAAACGGATGCATGTATGTAGGTGCTTGCTGTAAGCTGTTCGGCTAAAAGAACTGTAAGCACAACCACCAAAGCAAACACCAGCTCCTTTGCTCACTTGCTAAAATGCTTTCTTTGGTTGTGTTTTTTCAAGCTACAGGCCACAACTCTGAGAGGGACTTAGGTTCCAGCCTTCCCAACACTGAACTGTTAGATCCGTACTATCACTCAGCTTCGCTGGAGAACCTTACACAGGCTTGCCTACTGCTGAAAGCCTCAAGTCTCTTATCTGGAAGAAGAGTTTATAACCCCCGCCCACACTGCATCTCATAGAGCACACGTGAGGATGATGGTGTGTTGGCCGCGTCAGAGCTGGACCTTAGAAGAGATCAAAGCCACAAAAGACTGTCTCTGTCTTGGGGCTCATGAACAGGCAGAGGACAAAGTCTGACCAAATTGCCACAAGTAAGCTGTATTTTGGTGAGGATTCAGAGTGCTGAGGAACATGTCCCATTCCTTTTTTAAAAACTAATCTCATGTTGACCTTAGGGTCTACTCAGTAACTAAGCTGGAAACTCCAAACACTAGTTCATTTTCACACTCAAACAGCCTTTCATCTACATCCCCTAATTTTTTTTTTTTTGAACAGGCACATTAATACCAGCAATAGGAAGGCACAGGGAGGCAGATCTCTGAGTTTGAGGCCAGCCTGGTCTACAGAGGGAGTTTTAGAACAGCCCAGATTAAACGGGGAAACCCTCTCTCAAAAAAAACAAAACCAAAAAAAAAAAAAAAAAAAAAAAGGGTCCCGTGTACCTCTGGCTGGCCTAGAATCTGATGTGTAGACCTGGCTAGCCTCAAAGTGACAGAGATCTATCTGCCTCTGCCTCTCAAGTGCTGGGATTAAAGTCATGCAATACCACATCCAGCTAAGCCATAAAACATATCTACAACTTGAGCTATCAAGATGGCTCAGCAAGTAAAAGGTGCTGGCCACCAAGACTGGTGACCTTAATTCAGGGCCCACATTGTTTAAAGACAAAACTGACTATTACAAACGGTCCTGTGACGACATGCATTCATGCGTGCACCCATATACATATAAACATGTCAAAAAAAATCAGATTTGCCTTCATCTTCACTGACATTACCCAACTTCATCAATTCATTTAGCGAATTAATGAATTCATTTAACAAGCATTTATTGGGCACGAAAGAAAATTTAGTGATCAAAATACACCACAAAACTAAAATTCTAAATTGCAGAAAAGAAGCAAGACAAAACACTAAGAAAATAGGAGGTAAACACAGAGACTTGAGTCAGGTAGTTAGGTTTCTCTGTAACTACATTATCTAAGGTGGTTGGGGGTGAGATGGCCTGCCACTGCTATCCCAGCATTGAAGAGTTGCCACTGCTATCCCAGCATTGAAGAGTGGAGCCCCAAGTTCAGGGCTGCATCGTAAGGCTCTCTATCAAGAACCAGAATAAAAACATTCCATCCTCTCCTGCCTGGACTCTTCCAACAGTTTGTCTTCCCTGCCTCTTTTTACAGCCTTCAATTTTCTCTGAGCAGCAAAGCGACCTTTTTCCAGTCCCGAGGAAAAAGTCCGGCATGTGCTAGACAAGCACTGGACCACTGAGCTGTATCTCCAGCTGTCATTGAGACTGCCTCACTGAGTTACTCAGGCTGGACTCGATACTGTGATCCTCTTGCCTTAGCCAGGAGTGGCTACGGTTAAAGGCCTGAGGTTACTGCAGTCATAATTGGACAACAAAATATAATCCTGCAAGTCATCCACGGAAAAATCGTGGGAGTGGCTGTGAAAGGTGCAAGCAGGGTGCAGTATGACCGGTTCACCCAATTCTCCAATCTTTTACCATACCTCTACCCCGTATTTGAATTTTTTCCTTCCTATACTCTCCCTCTTCACTGGCTCTTTTTACAAAGGCTACCAGAACCACTCTTCTCCCCTTTACATCTACCAGTGTTTCGGCTTCTATTCTAGTCTTCCCCTTGCAGTTTTGTTTGGGCGTGTATTTATTTAGGCGCGTACATGACTGAGGCCGTAATGAAGTCAAGAGGACAAGGTGAGGAAGTCGGTTCTCTCCAAGTGGGTTCCGGGATCCAATTCACGTTGTTGAGGCTTGGCAGCCAGGGCCGTGCCCCTTACGTTCAAGCACCGGTCACATTTTTTACGTTTAGCGCTTGCAACGTCATCTTCGCTTCTCGAGAATAACGTGAGAACCACTACACTCACCGTGAACCTCGCACCTTCTTTGAGACTCTTGGGACAAGCGTCCACAGGACTAGAGCAACCCAGCGAGGAAGGAGTGTGGCGCCAAGCCCGGAAGAGTAGGGTGGCGCACAGGAAACCGGAAGTTCCGTGCCTACTCCGGAGGGGCGTGGCTTTCTCCACTTGGCTCCAGTGCGCGTGCGCAGTGTCGGCGCTCTGATCTGAAACATGGCGGCGCGGTCTCTGTGGGCGGTGCAGAGGCTGCAGCGCCTCCTGGCCTCGGGGGCTGTGTCAGAGAGCAGGTAAGAGGGGCGGCGAGTCCGGGCAAGCAGTGGCGTGGGCGCCGCGATGGGCAAGTGTGGGGAGGAAGGCGAGGGCTAGCCCGGAGTCGGCGAGGACCGGCCTCAGGTCCCATGACCCGGCATCCACGCCGCATCACTTGCAAGAGTGGCTCAGGCCCATAGGCGCGCTTTTCCCGGTCAAGGAAGATAAGTGGACCCGAGGCCCTGCCCTGGGATGTAGAACCCCAAGCATGACCCCAAGCATGAGTCGGAGAAGAACTCTCCCACCGCCTGCTCACCTGCTTCTCGCAGGGATGGATATAATTACGGTTCTTAGCCAGACTCCATGTGGTCTTAGGGCAGTCAGTCTCTAAACCTTCCCAGGATCGTCGCTCTACCTGAGTGTAAAAGGAGGGCGTTGGACCTCGTTTCTCCTGATGGCCTTCCCATTCGTCTTAGAGATACTTTGAAATTACAGTTGCCGTCACTGGACTGCAAAACTATTTGTTCTTTTTATTATCTCTTCTTTAATAATTTAGGAGGCTGGAATTTAGGAAAATTTACTGACTTTTCCAAACTGAGTTACCCTGTCAAGAGACCAGCTGCGGTTCTCAAACAGGTGTTTTTGTGTTAGTTGGAGACGGTTCATTCTCAGGAATATCCCGAGAATTTAAAAAAGGTCTGTCTATGAGTTAAAGAACTCCGGCTTGTAAATTAGCCGTGGGGAAAATCCAGGAAATTTGCAAGGCCATTTTGTCACTTTTTTTTTTTTTTTTTTTTTAATCTTAATGCACCTGACCTTACATCCACCCTATCAGAGCTGTGAGGCGTTGTATTTAATGCTTAGGGCGGGGTGGTTTGTTCAAACCTTTGGCAGTTTGTTGGGTGAGGTAAGGAAATCGTCAAAGAATAGTTTCTTCTAAAGTAGTAACTATTCAGAGCATTGACCTTTTCTCTTTAAATTGGCCCGGTTTTGACCAGCTTTCTGTTTATCAGGATCAATGTGGTTTTCTAGAAAGAGAAGATCTTTGACCATGTGTAATTGGCCTAGATATATCTATGATAACTGTATTTCCTGAACCAAATTTAGAACGATGTAGAATTGGATATCAAACCATAATAAAATTCAAGACGAGCCTGAAATTTCTGGGAGATGATGGTTCTCTCCCCTGTGTCTTTAAGCTAGCTCTTCACTCTGCCCAGAGTGTTCAGTCCTTAAAGCAAACTTTTACCCTCTTCTCCTAAAGCCTTTGTTCAGATTTCTGCCATCTCAGTGACCACTGTCCGATATATCGCTGTCCATGTAAGTAGTGAGCTGCTTGCTTTAAAGAGCTCTTGGACACACTGAGTCATTGACCTAGTCTTTTTTCACTTGCAATGATTACCGGGATCCAGGATGGGGTAATGAAAACTTCTTTAAACTAGAGGTCAGAGCTGCCACAGTCCCAAGATCTGCTCTAAACTAGTCTTCATTTCTTTGTAAAGTGAACTAAATGACAAATATTCACTTCCTTATGCCCATACAAGCCAAGAACAGGTACACACACGCTGTTTTATTGCAAGGTCTGCTGTCAAGACCAAGCCAAGAACAGGTACACACACACTGTTTTATTGCACGGTCTGCTGGCAGTTTACCTCTTTCCTGGCCGATTAGGGGAATGTACAGGGTTATCTTTCATTTAGGTGGGGAGAATGAGAAAGATCTAGGTTCTTTTGTGCCAGTGTATATGTCATCATGCTCTTCACAAGTCATGTGTTTCTTTTTAGGGGGTGATTGTGTTTTGTGCTTAGGGTTTTGAGCATGTGATATCAAATGTCATTGGCAAGGCAAACTGGATTGTGGGAATGCCCATTCTTAAAAGGCCTGTTTGAAACTGCCTCGAATGGATCCTGTAAGCAATTCCTGAAAGACAACTTCAAATGCTTTGTTAGTTAAGGGCTTCATGTCCTATTATTGGGACTTAACCTTTCATTAGCTGTGCAAAACTGTAGACTGAATAATTCACTGAACAAAAACTAATTGACTAAAACAAGCTTCTATTTTAGTGAGCTCTTTAGTTCTTGTACCAGTAATATTTCTCTTTCACAGATCTTCTTCCCTCCCTGAAGGCTGTACAGCAGTCACGATGTCTTAGCTAAGCCTAACTGAATTTGTTTACTCATTCTCCATTTCTGTAAGATAAAGAGTTAAATCAGAACAGTGTAACTTTGTGTGGCTTCTTGGTGCTAAATATCCTGGCTCAACAGAACACCTTTTGTTTTTGGTTGGGGGCGGTGTTCTGTTCTGCCCTTATCGGCCTCCCAGAACCGAGATTGCAGGTACTAGGAGTCACATGCCACTTTGTCCAGCTTAAATTTACCGTCTAGAACAAGTCATTAAACCTCAAGCCTCTCATCTTGAGGTTTGTTTGTTTGTTTGTTTGTTTGTTTTGGTTTGTTTTATTTTGTTTTGTTTTGTTTTTATCAGTAAAGTGGGACTTACTGTAGGGAATGGAGCTATCCATAGCACCTTTAGATGGAAAATGATTCCTGCTTATATATCTTCTTCATTAAAAACTTGTACCCAATATAAAATGGCTCACAACGCAAGCATTCCTTCCAGCCCTCAGAGACAGGCTGTTGTAGAAAGATCCCACAGTTGGCTCAAACAACAGTTAGAAACACTAAAAGGGGAGCTCTGCCCTTACTGATCATATCTAAACAAGGCCTTGTTTACATTAATTTTTTAAAAATTTTATAGTAGATGACCTCACTACATACAATGACACTGGCCACCAAAGGACAGAGGAGTAAAACCTAAGGTGCTATGGAAAGATGTCATGACAAGAAAATGGTTTGGCCTGTGCAAATGTAGAGTGAGGGTATGCTTGAAGATCCCTTTCCTGAAGGTCCCTATCGGTCCCTTCAAGTCCTGTAAAGGCCTATGGATCCAATGAAGAGCCTCTCTCCAGGTATAAAGAGGCTGGATCCCACAGAGTGGCTCTGTAGCACCTGAGGGCAAGAAGGGAGCCCCAGAGTGACAGAGTGGGGGAGCACTAGTATGGGAGAGGCAAGTAGCCAAAAGGAAACATAATGGCAGCTTTAATGCTATGTCTGCCTGGTGTGTTGGGTATTGCAGTTAACTGCCACTGCACTAAGAGTAAACATTGATCCTGAACATCTAAGAAATAAGGAAGGGAGAGATGGAGGGAACAGAGAAAGCCCTGAGTGAATGTGTGTGATAACATGAGCTGGCCATGTCAAATTCCCCAGAGCCTCAGACCCATGGAGGAATGGCAGAGCCCTTCCCCCTGGGGTGAGGTTCAGAGACATGACAAAGTCTTTGATTAAGTGTGAGTGTTGACAGTGTGTGCAGAAAAATGTCCACCATAGCTTCTCCTGGGTGTTTATAACCTAATGCCTGCTCCCCTACAGAGACTACTTCTACTGAGATTAACTAACCCTGTCCCCTTGATCTTGCTGTATACCATAAGCCCTGCCTCTTGCCTTATCTGTATGTAATAACCTCACCTCCCTAGATGTTGAGCAACTCTATATAATAAGCATGCTGAGTTTTCAGGGTGCTGTGGTTTCTCCTGCAGAGAGCCAGGACCACCTCATCCCAGCTTTCTGTCTGTCAGCTTTCCCTCACTGCTCCAATCTGTCAGCTTTCGCTCACTGCTCCAGTCAGGCTCATTCCTAGAGCAAGGCTGGACATGACAGATTATAATACCATTTATTTTGTATTAGCATATTCATTCTGGCAGAAAAGAAGAAGCCCAAGTGTCTATCAGTTGATAAATGGATAAACAAGTGTGCCATAGCTGCTCAATGAACTATTCCTTAGCAATAAAAGTAACCAATTACTGGAAAATGCAGGTAAGGGGCTGCCTCACCCTTCCCCAGTGAGAAATTCTCAGCACTCAGATATAAGGAAAACCTTCTTTAATTCTTATGCATTTGTAGACTCTAGCTATTGTTTAAAGAGGTCCAGCCCTGATCTGAAATATTTCATACTTTATTAGAGTTAGACATTGTCCTAATCTCCATTTTTAGGGGGTCTTTTTATCCTTGCCCCAAAGGAGCAATTTTCCAGAGCTGAAATTTGCAGGTTCCTAGTTAAGACAGGTTTATCTTTAGCAAACAGCACGTGCTGTGTAATCCGATGTTGATGGTGGTTACTTCTCAGAGAACAAATGTGACCCTTTTGAGGTCTGGGGGTGTAGAAGCAGAAGCCAAGCTCCTGTGTTTCAGAGCAGGGGCAAGTTTCTTACTCTGTTTTCTTACTTCTGTGTAACCTAATATTTCATACTTGTCAGTAAATTCATTTTATTCCTATTTTTTTAATTAAAAAACTTGTTAAAACATGATTTAAACACATTCTAAGTGAAGAACTGCTTTTGAATGACCATCTGTTATGATTTTGTCAACACTAAGCATCCGTAAAAGGCATGTCTGTAGAAAACAAAATACTGTCAGACTTATCTGGGGCAAATAATTTAAGAGGAAATGGTAAGTGACATAAGTAAAAGCCTTCTTTTTATGATGACAAAAATGTTCTGAAATTGTGATCTCAGAATTTGGTTGGCTCTACACATGGTAAAAATGTTTGCATTGTACACTTTAAATGGTAAATTGTATGGCATGACAACTACATATCAGTAAAGCTTTAATGGTGTGGGAGTTTTTGCCTGCATTATGACTGTGTACCACCTGCGTGCGTGCTGCCACGGAAGCTAGAAGGCATTGGATCCCCTAGAACTTGAGTTACCGGTGGTTGAGAACTGCTCTATGGAGGCTCAGAGTTGAATCCAGGTCTTCTGGAAGAGCAGCCAGTGTTCTTAACATCTGAGCTTTTTCTCACCCTAAAGCCATTACTTTTAAGAGCACTTTAAAAATCTAGTAGTTGTGTTTTGGGTATTGGATGATGAAAATCTGAAAAGCTGAGGTGGATGAAGCAGAAAGGTGCTTAGGAAGGACTTCATCACTTGTCACCAAGACTGAAAACTATGGAGAGTTTTCATGTGGGGTGCTTTGGGGCTCTAACTGTTGTGGTTTTGCATTTGTGTGGTGGCACTTTTTCACTGTGTGCCACTGCCCCACCCCACCCTCTTAGGGGATGGCTACACCCATTCAGCACTGCCACCCAAAGAACTGCTGGGGAAGACTGCAGTTCTGAGGACCCTCCTGATGGACTTGGTCCCTCCCTTGCTGAACAGGCCTTAAGGCTAAAAGCTGTTAAACTGGAAAAAGAAGTCCAGGATTTAACAGTGAGTAGTAAATTTTATATTATTTGTTTTTTATGTCTCTTTGATTTAAATGCTCACATGAAGGGGGTTTTTTTGTGTGTACTTTTTTTTTTTTTTAATGAATTTTCCTAAAATGGCTCTTTAACCCTCTTCCTGCACTGCTGTCTTGTTGGGCCTATTAGGCAAAAATAAATAAATAAATAAATAAATAAATAAATAAATAAATAAATAAATAAATAGATAAAATCTGTGGTTTTTAAAATGCCACATGGCTCAGGATGGTATCTCCTTTGGTTCCCTCTTGTATCACAGCATTTAGATAGCTGGTGGCTTGGCAGGGTAAAGGTGATGTAATGCCTGTCAGGTGATAGAGTAAATATTGGTTGGGTGTGTGAGGTCTTTGTACTGTGCTGGTCAGAGAACACCTGGCCTACTGGACACAGCTGTGATTGAGCATGTTGAGAAGAGATAGGTAGAGCAGAATAATTACAAAGCAGAGCAAAGCCCAAGGCAGCAAGGTGCTAGGAAGCATGTCTTATGGGAATTAAAGAAACAAGGAATTATAAGAGAGAAGAGGACTACACAGGCTAAGTAACTGCCTTGAAATAGGTAATAGGTTTTTATTTTATTTTTTTAAGATTTATTTATTTATTGTATGAGTGAGTACCATGTCTTCATGTATACCTGCAGGCCAGAAGACGGTATCAAATCCCATTATAGATGGTTGTGAGCCACCATGTGGTTGCTGGGAATTGAACTCAGGACCTCTGGAAAGCAGATAGTGCCCTTAACCTCTGAGCCATCTCTCCAGCCCGGTAATAGGTTTTTAAAATTTACTTTGTCACATTGGGGTTAAAGCAATGAAAAAAAGGTTGTCAATAATTAACTTGAAAACTGATGTATTCAAGCTAGTCAGAATTACTTACAAGCTACTGAAAAGTAAGTAGATCACTTCTTTGGTAATTTGGAGAGCAGCCAGCCTCGAATTGTTTGTTTTTAAATAGCTACTAGTTTTATTGGAGACGGAATCCTAGGCCTTGTGCATGCTGAGAAAGAGCCCTACTTCTGAGCTGTATCACTGCCTCTATTATACCAGGGTGAGATTTATAAAATAAGAGCACTCTTTCCCACTGATTTCTCATCCTTTGACTTTTCTTTTGATATTTAGCTGAGATACCAGAGAGCTGTTGCTGATTCTGAAAACATAAGGAGACGAACCCAGAGATGTGTGGAAGACGCCAAGATATTTGGTGAGAGATGATTCACAAAAGCATAAATTTAGTTGAAGGGCAGGTACCTTTGTAGCACATTTGTAAACTGAATGTAGTAGAAATACAACTGAGACCCTAACTAATCTTATCCGCTACCTACCACTATCTCCATGGGCTTTCTCTGCTGCATGTGGGAATGGTATCATGCTAACCATTGCTATAATAATGCCGGCCCTTATTTTTCTAAGCATGTCCAGTTATTACATTTCCAACATTCTAGTGTGTATTCAAATAATCTTTTCAGTCATTAATGAACCAGTGAATTGTTAAGACATCCAGAGGAGCATCAAAAGAACAGTGCATAACTAGAAATGCTGAAGTTTGCTTAATGTAAGCAACACTGCTCTGTATCCACGAGGAAAGACTACACTACTGTGGACAAGAATTCTTTGTTGCTGTTAGTACTCTGCAAGCTGGTGATTTATAACAGGCTGAAGGAAGCTAAAACTTGAAAGTTGTGTTTGTGTGTATGTCTCCAAGTTTATGGTAAGGCTGCCAGTTTTAAACTGCATTATTATTTTTTTTAATCATGTAAACTTGTTTTTTTTTCTTTACCTACAGAATATAAAATTCTTGGCTTTTGTCTCTTGTCCGACAAAGCCTAGAATGCTTGCTCTGTGGCTTTTGGCAGAAGACAGGTGTTGGCTGCTGAGCTGTGGAAATGTCTGTACAAATAGCACAGTTGGCAGTGGGGGAACTTCTGGTGTTCCATCTGCTAGATGAGCAAGATGGATGGACCCCAGAAGTCAAGCTTTGAGTTAGATCTAGTTTATTAGCAGTTTACCCAAGACGTGGTAAGACATCTGGGAACAAACTCCTGTTAGCTCACTGCTAGCCAGTTTATTACTTTAGAACAAACTGTATTCAGACAAAGATGTCATAGAAGTCACTGACCGAGGGAATTTTCTCCTGATGGCCAGAGATACTTAGGAAACTAGAGAGTTTGGGATGAGCTTGGAGGGAGAAGGAACATAGAATAGTGTTTTTGTTTATTTGTTTTTGTATTTTAAAATGGAGTTTCTCTATGTAGACCCAGCTGGCCTCAAACTCAGAGATTCTTGTCTCTGCTTTCCAAGTGCTAAACTTAAAGGTGTGAGCTACCTACCACACCTGGCAGAAAGTATAACATTTTAACGGATATGTCATGACAACTATCTAACATCCTTAAAAGCATAGGTTTTACTTAGTAGTCTGTCTTCTTGGTCACACAGATGCCTTTTTTTCCCAAGAAATTACTATGTGATAAAATAGCACCTAACCCTAGAACAAAACATCCAGTGCTGACCTGTGATGACTCCTACCTGTGTGTATATACAGGCAAACATGTACACATTACACACAGAGTAATCCTAATACAATAATAAGAATGCAGTCAGACTGGGCCTCAGTGTACCAACAAGAACTTGGGTTTCTGTTTAACAGAATTTCCACTGTTTCACTGAATTAGATGCCAGGTTTCCTCTGACAGGACACAGGTCAGCACAGAAGCTTGCTACTTTCAAACTTGTACCTGAGATCTGAAGGTGTAGCTTAGTGGCAGAGCACTTAGACAGCGTATACAAGACCAGGGGTTGGGCTTGATCCCGGCACTGAAGAACCCAGGGTCCACTCTCAGTTGGGCTTGTTCTCTGTGAGCGCCTTCTGCCCACCCTTCTCTCTCCCACCTCCTCTCCCACTCTAAAATAGATGATACCACAGTACTTCATGTGACACTCGACTTTATCCTTTCCTTGTGACCTCATCTGCATGCCTCCAAATCAGTAGGTTGTTGCTTGTATTGCTGTTGTTGGACCGATTTGAATCAGGTTCCCTCTGTTTTCCCTAAGAAGTTCAACTGGGTCTCAACCCAGGGAAAATAAACGGAGAATTTCATTCTCCTTAATCTGCCATGTCTGGTTGGTTTTCTCCGATCTCTCTGTTTTTCTGTTACCTGTGGTGAGTCAAGGTGGCTGCGCATTTTAGCACAGCTGTAAACCTACAACAGAAAATCCTTCCAGCAGCCCTTGCTGGGCAGTGTGCCATAGATGTCTAATGGTGGCCGTTCCTTAGCTCAGTCAAGAGAAGGAACAGTGGGTTCTCTCGGCAGCTGGGTTCATTTTCATCTTGTAACAGTTCACATTTCCTGAAAGGTTTCTGTGAACCTTTCCTAGTAGGCGATAGGAAGGAAACTCACCTCCTCTGTGTGTGTGCTTTACCTTCCTGTCTAGCCAGCTTCGAAAACAAGTGCCTCTTGGCATCCTTAGCAAGTGCTAAGTGCTGGCTTTTCTTTTTTGTGTATCCCCAACCCCTACCGTCCCAGTGAAATATTCCTGTCGTACGTCTTGAGAATGGCCTTTGCACACCTAAGATAGCCTGTTTTTAATCCTTTTTCTGTAGACTTACTTGGCCTGTGTATTTTAACTCTTCCCAGCTACCCAGTACTGGAGAGAGCTGTCTGTCTTCAGACACACATCTTTGCAGAAAAGACACTGACTTGTCGGTTGAGCTGGGCAATGATCCCCCTTCAGAAATGCTAAGTACAAAGTGTACTAGCCACCTCTATGGGCCTACTCCAGATTCTGCCTCTAGAGGCAACATTGTTCTCAGGTATCTGGTTTCTTTGCAGGAATCCAGAGCTTCTGTAAGGACTTGGTGGAGGTGGCAGACATTTTGGAGAAGACTGCTGGGTGCTTTTCAGAAGGAGCCGAACCTGAGGACCACAAGCTTACTCTGGAAAAAGTCTTCCAAGGGCTGTCCCTTTTAGAAGCAAAGCTGAAAAGTGTGTTTGCCAAGCATGGCCTAGAGAAAATGACACCCATTGGTGACAAATACGACCCTCACGAGCATGAACTCATCTGTCACATGCCAGCAGGTGTTGGGGTGCAGCCTGGCACCGTGGCATTAGTTCGGCAGGATGGCTACAAACTTCATGGCCGCACCATTAGACTTGCGCAAGTGGAAGTGGCAGTGGAGTCTCAGAGAAGGCTCTGAACAGGCCTCCAGGAGCTAAGTACTCTCCAGAGCCCAGGCACCTATGTCTCCTTTATTTATTAAGCTGGTTTGTATTATACATGAGGTCCTTCATGTGCTCTGCTTTGGATTTAGTCATATTGGCTTAATCTCTACTGTGTCTTATTGGTTTTATGTGACCTGTTTGGTCTCATCAGGTGTTCTGCCACAAGGCATTTGAACAATGTGACAAGTGTCCTATGGCCTTTATCAAAATGTTTACAAAAATCATTTAAATTGGTACTCTGATGACTGAATCCAAAATCTTCTTAACTGTGTCTTCATCCAATTACTGGAATTAATACAACATCTTGTATCTCGTATTTTATGGGGAAAAGAGATGGGATTGATTTAACATTTAGGTACTTAGATTGCAGTGCTTTACCCTTGAATAAATTTAGATCATTTGGGTTGACATAATATACAAAGAGATTTTTTTTTTCAAGGCTTGTTTTTTATTTCATTTTTCATTTAGTTGTTTATTTGTTTTTTGTTCTTTTGTGTGTGTGTGCGCGCGTGCACATGTGCTTACATTCCCTGCACATTGTTTCATAGCCGCCCCTTTCTGGTCCTGTTTGGAAAGGCTAAAGGGTCAGGCCAGTCTTCCTTTTCTGTTGTTGGTAAGGTATATGTGTTTATTAAACTGGTCTCAAGTCTGTGAACAGGCAAGGCCTGACAATACAGCCCACTCCCAGGAAGGGAGGGGCAGGCATGGTAGTTGATCATTCAAAAATAAAAACAATTTAGGTGAATGATTTTTTTTTCAATACATTATTTACACAAAAGTAATGCTGTTGCCTCTTTTTTGTGAATTCCACTGAATGAACGGGCTATCCTCCTTTCTGGGTTAGGATGTGGGGCTAACTTTGGAGAAGACAAGGAACTTCATATAGCAGCAACAAATGAAAAAAGAGAAAAAGTCCTCTTCATATTGTAAAACACTGGGGGGGGGGGGCTTGTCCCCAATCAGCTGCTGTCACCTTCACCATTCCGGTCTTTAAATCCTGAGTCAAAAGCACCAAAAAAAAAAAAAAAAAATATATATATATATATATATATATATATATATATATATATGTTTATGATTGACAAAAAGAACAATGTCTGGTTGGGTTTTTTGTTTTGTTTTTCTGCACATGTTTTGTCAAGAAAGGGTGTGGCACAGCTCCATCACAGTCCACCTAGGATCATTTGCAGTACACAACAGAGGGACTATATTACTTGAATTCCTCCCTGCTGAACTGTATCAGCCGGGAGACGGACAGTGAGGCCAGGGTGCAGCTGCCTATCCACTCAAGAGTACTTGAACTCAGGGAGCAATGATGTTGATCTTCATGGTACTGGGAGCCAGAGCAGTGATCTGCATTCTGTTATAGTCAATGGAGTACGTGCTGGTCCCACCAGACAGCACTGTTAGCATAGAGGTCTGAGGATGTTGGCATCACACATAATGATGGGACTGAAGTTAAGCTCATAGGTGCCATAGTATTCCACAGCCAAAAAGGAAAGTTAGTTGAACTCCTGGGGGCAGCAGGATTGGTCCTTATCAATAGTGATGACTGATGCAGCAGCTCCTAACTCTTCTGGTAGGAGAAGGATACAGCAGCAGGTATATCTTCCTGGAAGCCCGGGGCAGCATGACACAGCTCTTTGACATTACGATTAAGTTTCCACTTGGCTATGGTAAAGCTTGCTCAGAAGCTTCATGAGTAGTCTGTAAGGTCTTATCCAATAGGATGGTATAGAGGAGAACAGTCCCTAAAGATGGGCACAGTGTGGGTGGCTCTGTCTCCAGAGTCCATGATGCGGGTGGTACTATCCGTCATACAGACAGCACAGCCTTGGTGGCTATGTGCATGGCTTGGTGTTGATGGTCTTGAATATGATCTGGGTCATTTTTTTTTTTTATTAGCATGGTGTTCAGAGAGCCTTGGTAAGCAGCACCAAGCACTCCTCCAGGGCCACACTTGGCTCATTGTAGAAGGTGTGGTATCATCTGTCGTCCACATTGGTGACAATATCAAACTCCATGGGTACCTCAGTGTCAGGATGCTTCTCTTGCTGTAGGACTTGTCCACATAGGAGACCTGGCCAGTGCTCATCATCACACCCAGTATGTTGGACAACCCACCATGGAAGCAGGAGACAGACTTGGAAGCATCCTCACCTGTGAAGCCAGCTTTGTTGGAGCCAATGCAGCATTATCTGCCTCCATGGCAAATGGTGACAGGTGGGGACCTGGTGGTGGAGGAGCTGAGAGGCCTGTGCTTGCCAGGTGAATATGGGTACTATGGAGTGTCTTCCCTTGTAAGCAAGGGATTCTTTTCAGCATCTTGGGTATGAAGCACCAACAGCAAATGACCCACATATGTTTGTATAGGTAATTACCTACAATGCCTGGTCCTACCAACCCTGACTCCTGGCCTTTGTCAGATTTGCCCTGGGATTTTGTATTAGGTTACACAGGGAGGAGACAGACAAAATGCTGGCCTCCCATAATTCTCATTTAATAATGCTTGAGATGTGCCCCCCCAACCCCAGAGCAGGGCCTGACACGTTACCTCACACAGGAACAAAATTTGTGTTTTTAGTGCACTGGGAATCAAATGTAGAGTCTCAATGAATGCTGGGTGCACTCTGCAACTGAGCTATGCGCCCAGCCCTGACAAGCTTTGTTTTCTAGTCTTTGTATCTACCTTAAGCCATATTTGTATGAACATCTAGTCTTTTGTGTATTAACCTTATAAATTGTATGAACCTGTATTTTTTTAAGTCGTAATAACTGCTAGTGTGTAAAAGATTTGTCCAGTAAATAACTTAATGAGTGAATAATGCCTGAGGTAAACTTTGTAAAGGTTTTAGTCTAAGAGGTCTTACTGATACGGTAGAAAATGGGAATGAGACGTTTGATGATGTAAACTTGCTTAGGAAATACGAAGTTGCTCAAGTAGAATTTAGCACTCTGGTTCCCTTAGCATAGTTCTGCCAGGCAGATAGGATGGCCCATGTTAACAGCTGCCTGGGAAAAGCAGTGCTGGTCCATCTTGGTATAACCATGACAGTATTTTACAATTGTAAATTTCCCCTATTTGTCCACTGTTGTAATTTCTGGCTCTGTGAGATGTGGTAAATGACTCAAAGCATAACTTGGAGCCAGGAAACTGTACAGGTTGACAGGGATTTCTGTTCAGAGCTGGTTCCCCTTTGCACATTAGCCAGAAGCGGTCATGTCCTAATACTAAAAGAGCCTTTCCTTTATTAATCTCTATGAGGTACAGAGACTTCTCGTGGGAAGGCATATTAGTTCTACATTACCTCACCCTTTATGCTGCTCCTGAAGCTTAGAAATGTAGTCTGTTCTAAGACTAGACTCGAGGCAATCCTTCTAGGGACTTTGACTGGACTACACATTAAACTGGCGCAAACGGGATTGATAGAAAAACCAAGCTGGGCATGGTGGTGCACACCTTTAATTCCAGCACTTGAGGGGCAGAAGTAGGCAGATCTCTTTGAGTTCATGGCCAGCCTGGTCTACAAAGTGAGTCCAGAACAGCCAGGGCTGTTACACAGAGAAACCCTGTCTCAAACAAAAAAAAAAACAAACAAAAAAAAAACAAAAAAAAAACAAAAAACCAAACAAGAAAAGAAAAAAAAGAAAAGAAACTGTTGTATACATAAATAAATACAAGAGTCCTCAAAATTGGTGCTTAGATCACATCCAGTTCTACAGAACAGGGCTACAGAACAGGTCTAGAAAATGAAAACAAGGAGAAAACTGATGAGTAAAGTTCTTGTAGACATTGTCTGGGACGTCATTTGATACATAAGACAACTTGGCCAGTGTTGCTCTCTTTTCAACTTACATATTATAAAAGGAAAAAGTCAGCCTCTTGACTACTATTGCAGTTCCCCAAATAATAATCGGTTCCATATATACCAAGAATATTTTGAGGAGTCATATCCTAATCTTAGACCTCCAGTCATTTTCAGGTGGGACCCTCAAGAGTAAGACACCACACAGGCATTTATCAATGGAGCCGTCCCCCTTTGGTCCCTGCCATCTCCACCAGATCTAAACACTTGGACAAAGGTGAAACTTGGAGAGGGTATAAAGTGTGCTGGGAGCAGCAAATAATCACTTTAAAAAAAAAAAATTGATGACTATTTTATGTGCATGTTTTCTCTCCGTGTCAGTCTGCACCGTGCGCATGCCTGGTACCTACACAGGCCAAGAGAGTGTTAGATCCCCTGGAACTGGAGTTAAGAATGGCTGTAAACCACCATGTGGGCACACTTAAAAAGTACTGTTTACTTGGGGGCTGGGACATGGCTCAGTGGTTAAGAGCACTCTGGCTGCTCTTCCAGAGAACCCAGGATTTATTCCCAGCACCCTCTGCACTCAAAAAGAGTCTTTTGCAAGGCATTATATTACTGTTCCACTAGGTGGATATTGTAAATTTAAGGAGCAGTGAAATTCTACAATAGAGTTTGCTGCCTCCCTCCCCCGCCTTCATTTTTATAAGATTGACAGATGGAAACAATGAGAAAAGAACCATGTGTATTTAGAGTTATGAGCTATTCTTGACAGGGAACTAGGACGAACTAATTTTAGGAGTTCTATTGTCAAAAAGGTGTTCTGATCTTTCCATATATTTATGCAGGTAGATCAATGTTGGGTTCTTTTATTGGTCTGTGGTTTTTGCATACTTAAATTGTGAGTTCAGAATGAGATGAAGCCATAATAGCAAAAAAAAAAAAAAAAAAAAAAAAAAACTCAGAAAAGGGACAAGGGAGCTGGTACAGTGGAGTAGAACTCAGGCTTGGTAGACATAGACGTTGAACACAGCTCTGGTACCTGTGATTTTTCGAATCCAGTCATTCCACGTTTATAAAATTGTTGTAATATGTGGTACTGTGAGAAGTACGTGAAACTCCAGTAAGCTCTCCCATTATGTTGCTTAAATTATCACAATGTTTTGCAGTTTTATGGTTGCCTAAGGAAAAGGGAAGACTGGTTGAGTGATTTATTTAAATGAAATAATTGTTAGCTAACCTTCCCTGACCTGTGTGGCTTGGGTCCTGGAACTCTGGCTAGGGATGGTAAGAGAATGAGAAGGGACTCACATACCAATACATACACACACAGTGAAACTGGGATTTTGTGGGGTTCTCTAATGCTGCCACTCCCGCTAGAACCTGTGGGTACTTATTAGGTACAGCACAGGCAGTGGGGAAATTAGCTAGTCTCAAAGAAGGCCGGTTGCTAGTATTTGCACATGCACACCAGTCTTCCATAGACGTTCAGACTCTGGAGAAAAGTTACCAGTTTTCCATGGGGCAATTAATTGGTCTTGGAGCAGGCCATACCCATATAAAATACATATTCTCTTTGAACTTCACTCACTCAGGCTTCCCCACTGCTACACTGAATGCCTCAGGGTTTCTTTTGCTGTGATGAAGCACATGACCAAAAGTAAGTTTAGGAGGAAAGGATTTATTTTTCTTACATTTCCATATCACCATTCATTATCAAAGGAGGTCAGGGTGGGAACCTAGAGGCAGGAACTACTGCAGATGCCGTGGAGGAGTACTTCTCACTGGCTTCATCAGTCTGCTTTCTTACAGAATCCAGGACCACCAGGCCAGGGGTATTTCCACCCAGGATGGACTGTCCCTCCCCCATTAATCACTAATTAAGAAAGTGCCCATATATGCATGGATGCATTCCATCCTGATATTATTATTTTTTTTAATTATTTTCATTTTTATGTGCGTTGGTGTTTTACATGCATGTATATGTGTGAGGGTGTCAGACCTTGGAGTTACAGATAGTTAAACCTGGGTCCTCTGGAAGAGCAGTCTGTGCTCTTAACCACTGAGCCATCTTTCCAGCCCCCATCCTGATAATATTAATAGGGGAAGTAAACAACTCAAAATAACTTCAGGAAGTCCCTGAAACTGACCAGATTCACTGTGGTATCACAACTGCCTGTAGCTCCAATTTAGGAAATCCATTGCTTTATCCTGGCTTCCAAGGACACTGCACACACATAGACATTAACAAATATTTCAAATGACCCTAGTGTTTTTTGACACATTGAGGGTTCGTTCCTGAGTTCATTCTTGAGTCTCATTTCATTGCTTTGCAATTGTTTGGTCCATGTGATACAGTGAAAGTGACACTTTGGGGTTCTGGACCAACCCTTAAATAGCTTTGCCAATACTATCCTGTCCATCTATGGCTCCCTTATGCAAGTGGGACTATCCTGGACATTTGTGGATAAATTAAAACATGATTACTTTAGTTGTGGAATGGCTCATTATATAGCAGCAGATAGCTGATATGTTTTCCTCACCACATTCCCAGGCTTGGCCAATTAGTTTGCATTTCTATACCACCTAATTGTGTGGTTTTGTTTGTTTGCTTTTCCTCATAGTAGCAATAAACTGGTAAAGTTATAAGAGTTCGTGGGGACAGCCAAACATTGGGTGAAGCAGGGGAACCCCATAAAAGAGGAAGAAGGATTCTAGGAGCCAGGAGGGTGGAGAACATGGCCCACAGAATCAGCTAAGCAGGCCTCCAGAGACTGAAACAATCATGGAGCCTGTATGGGTCTCAGATAGGTCCTCTACATAGACGTTATGGTTGCGTAGCTTGGTGTTCTTGTGGGACTCCTTAACAGTGGGAGGGGGATACCCCTTCTATGGGGTTGCCTCATCCAGCCTTGATATGAAGGTTTGTGTCTATTCTTATTGTAATTTGTTATACTATGTTCTGTTGATCTCCCTGGGAGGGCTAGTCTTTTCTTTTTTTCTTCCTTTTTTTTTTTAAGGGAAACAGAGGAGTGAACGAGGAGAAGGGGGTGAGAGATGGGAGGAGTGGAAGTAGGGAAACTGGTAAGGGTGTAATGTGTGTAAAGAATAAAAGTTAGTTAAAAAAAGAACTAATGGGGAAAGCACATCTCTAGATTCAACATTCACAAAAGACCCAAGTGTTACAAGGTAGAGAACCAGAATGAATTTTAAAGTCAATGTAATTGAAAAATAAAGCTCTTAAGTAGTTAGCACATAAGAGAACCTGACACAAAATGATAAGTAAAGCTTGTTTGGAATAAGGAATAGGGGCTGAAGAGATGGTTCGGTGGTGTTATCTAAATAAGCACGTGGCTACATAAAAATAAAGGGGAGACTGCAGAAGGCAGGTGTGAAGTGTAGAAACTGGAAGAAAACAAACAAAAACCAAAATTTCAGGAGCAAGCACAAATGCGCTTGTTTCAGCGCTTGCTAGTGCATCCAGTCACGCGGGTCACCAGCTTGGTCAGCAATTTGAGAGACTGTCAAACCCAAAGGGTTTCCCCCTTCATTATCTCACGTGTCATCACAACCTAGAAAAATAGGGCGTAGATTATTCTGTCCCCCGCAAACAGACACAGAGAAGGCACATCAGCAAAACTAGTAACTGGCTGGACTCCCTTCTTTGTATGCTGGGTCCTGATGTTGAGATCCAAAGACGCGCACACCTGCGCCTGAGCAGAATGAGCCAGCCAATGAAAAACCCGCATCCAAGGAGGAGGGACAGGGACGCTGCCAATGACCGAGCTCTCCCTGAGACAGATGTAGCTAATGGAGACCTCGTACTGCAGAGGGACGGTTGCTCGACCAATGAAAGGCTGGAACCAGCCAAGCTGCAAGGCCGGACCGCCCAGTGGGGCGCCGGGGCGGGGCGCGCAGCCGAGCGCCAACGGCGAGCAGCCGCTCTGCAGCGTGCTAGCCGGTCGCCACCCGCCATGGCCCGCGCTGCCCCGCTGCTCGCCGTGCTGGCCTCAGTCCTCACCGCCGCCGCTGCAGGCGGAGACGCCCCGCCCGGAAAAATTGGTGCGGGAAGGATGTGGTGGGGTGATCACTGAGGAGGACGGGCGGGAAAAGGGTTACTCTGACCCGGGGCAGGGGAGGGCTGCTCCGGAGAGGAGCTGGGTGCAGGAGAGGCTAGGGGCTTGTTGGGCGCGGAAGAAGCATGCATAGGGGAAGGAGCGGTTTGGGGGAGGATGGCGTGGACGCGAGGAGAGGGCCACCCGGGAAGGAGAAGGCCTGGATAGGAATAACCACTGACAGCCAGCCAGCTACCCGCAAGGCGCATGGTCACTGAATATTTGCTTCTTGAGAAGCTTGTGGGTGACAAGACAGGGGCTGGGCAGTGGCGTTCCCAGGGGTCTGCTGAGGCCCTGTGCGTCCTAGCAACGTTGACTGGTTCCTGAAGGAAGAGAGGCCCTTCGTTAGGATGAGAAAGTTCTGTCTGGAGGGCGCTTGGTAGGTTCTGCGGGCTTTAAAGAGGCTTCCTAGGAGTAACAGCTAACCAAAACTTCCGGTCTGTAGAGGCCGTTCTTTCCACAGGATAAAACAATGGATTGCAGGGAGTGGATTTGCTGAGTGACAGAATGGTCAACTTTTTTTTCCTCTCAGGCAAGCTAGACAAGCACTCTGCTGCACAGCTCCACAGCCCAGTTTGAAGAACTCTTTTTTAACGACTCGTTTTTCTTCAGTATTATTTGTGTGGTTTTCCCCAACATTTCATTCTGGAGTTCTTCGAGCATGCGGCAAAGTTGAAAGAATTTTACAGGCTCATCCACGTGCCCACCCACCCCCACCCCCACTCCGCTCTGCCATTTTCGACTAACACCACTTACATTTTAGTGCATTTCAAAATGAATTGCAGGCGCCAGGACACACCACTAAATACACCATTGTGTAGTTGTCACTAGTTCCATGTTTGCTCACAACTTCTTGTTCTTTCTTTTGTTTTCACTCTGCATGACTCAGAATTCTCAAAGCTCCTTGCATACGAATTCCTATAGCCAGAAAATGCTGAGCTCCTGATTGTGGGCGGACAGGGTAATAATTCCTTTGTGCTGCCTCATGAACCCCAGTTGACAGGAGTGCCTTGGGACTGCTGGGACAGCATGGGCTTGCCTGGGCTAGTACAATACTAAAGCTTAGTTCTGTAAGAAAACTCCCAGCAGGCCACAGAGGGTTAAGTCTGACCAGAACATACTGGACATTGATTTGTGACTGAGAGTCCACTGAAGAGAGAATCTTGTGGGGTAAGGTATTAAGACAAGGCCTAATCGCGGTTGACCTCTAGGCAGACCTGTGAGGATAGTGATGAGTTAGGCAGGGAGGGAGGGACCAGGGATGCGCATCTTTTTCCTAGGGAATCCTCCAGCAGAACCACCTGGTGTTTACGTAGCTTGCAGCCGGCTTTCTTCCAGCTTGTCCCCAGACACACCTCACCAGGTCTTCCCGATGACAAGCTGCCCTTTAACAACCCTGAATGCCTTCAGCCCCTTGGTGATTTGGACTGGCCCTAGAAAGGGCTCTAGCAGGATCCTATCTCCATACTTCTGAGTGGTCCTAGGACCCTATAGAGTTCCTGATGCCCTTCCTGCTCAAGCAGTTCTTTTTGCTTTCACCAGCATGTAGATTTTTCTCTAGGTCCTGCTGAAATGCTTTCTCTATGTGAAGCCTGTGTCTATTGCTTCCTTCTCGGGAGTCCATGAAAGCCTGATGTCCTGCTTGGTTATGGATTGTTCTAGCTGACTGTACACGAGTCTTTGCCCTTTGGCTGCTTAGGCTTCTGGGAACCAAAACCCTCTTTGGTACATCTTTGAGCCTTGGTGCATCTAATAGGACAAAGCAGTGTCTGTTATGTTATGTTCCATAAGCCTGTTCACAATGACATGACCTCTGGGGAGTAGGAGTTGGATGGCACCTCTAGACCTTGAAATGTCCATTTCTTTGGAGAAAATGGGTAATTTGGGACTCTCCAGAGAAAGAGAAGGGAAGAGAGCGGGGTGGTTAAGAAAAAGTTAAGGGTGTTCGTGGAAGTGACTCATTCTTAAGTACCAAATCTTTACCTTCTTGCCTGGCTGGATGGGAATACTGGGCTGTCAGTGAGAGGAAAGCAGTGTTTCAGATACAGGGCAGACAGGAGAGCAGGTAAGACAGTAGCCCAACTCGAGGGTTTCAGGGCTGTTTTTTTGACTACTATCTGTCTAGCCGGTGGTGCCCAGCAGCATCAGGTGGTAGGCTGGACTTTGACCAACGACTGTCACAGTTTGCTGTAAAGGTCCAGAAAGTAAACATTGTCCTATTGACCGTAAGTGAAAGAAAGGGTGTGACTTTGTTGACAGAGATCAACAGCTGAGAGACTCAGTTGAGCCCAGGAGTTCAAGGCTAGCCTAAGCAGCATGGTAAGACTGTACCTCACAAACAAACAAACAAACAAAAGCCTGCTGGGTATGGTAGGTCATGCATTTAATCTGCACTGGGTAGGCAGAGGCAGGCAAATCTCTATGAGTTTAAGGCCGGCCTGATCTACATAGGGAGACCTTTTCTGAAAAAAAGGGGGGGGGGGGGGGGGTTGGAAGACCTATGCTTGTAAAACTGACAAAACAAGCCTGTATTATGGGCTGTAGTTTGTTGATCCTGAATTAAGGAATGCTTTCCAGCCCACCAACAGAAGTGCTTGGTCAGTAACTGCACCAGTTAATCCTGAAATAAGCAAAGTGGAGGGGATGGGGATTTTATAAAAATCTAAATGTATCTGTTTTGTTTTGTTTTTTAAGCATTGATTGATGGGGCCGGATGAAGTGGCGCACGCCTGTTATCCCAGCACTCGGGGAGGCAGAGGCAGGTGGATCTCTGTGAGTTCGAGACCAGCCTGATCTACAAAGCAAGTCCTAGACAGCCACGGCTACACAGGGAAACCCTGTCTCAAAACAAAACAAAACACTAATTGATATATGCGTGCCATGGCACTGGGACAACTTGCAGAAGTTAGTTCTTTCTTTGCACTCTGTAGGTTCCAGGGATCAAACTGTGGTCGGTGGGCTTGGTAGCAGGAGCCTCTACATGGAACCATTTAATTGGCCCAGTTTATTCATCCTCCCCCACCTTGTTTTGTTTATTTGTTTTAGAAAGGGTTTCTCTGTGTAGCCCTGGCTGTCCTGGAACTTCCTCTATAGACCAGGCTGGCCTTGAACTCAGAAATCCATCTGCCCCTGCCTCCCAGTGCTGGAATTAAAGGCTTGTGCTATCATGCCCGGCATTCTGAAATTTGAGATTCTTTCCTTTCCTTCTGCTGCTAGGTAGGGTCTTCCTTTGTCTGATGAGGATGACAGTAGGTACAGTTGAGGGGGGCCACCTTTGATTGTTAGGCTCAGACTGAATTTCCCCCTTTGAAATTCCATAAGGCTACTTAGTGCAAGTTCCAGGAGCCTCCACTCTGCACAAGGTAGTGCAAAAGTAACCAGTCTCTCTCTCTTACTGTGCCGTCTCTCTTTCCCTGCCTTGTTTCTGACTTGCTGACAGCTGTTATTGGAGCTGGGATTGGGGGCTCCGCCGTGGCCCATTTCCTTCAGCAACACTTTGGACCCCGGGCACAAATTGTTGTCTACGAGAAAGGGACTGTGGGTGGCCGCCTGGCCACTATCTCCGTCAACAAGCAGAACTACGAGAGCGGGGCAGCCTCCTTCCACTCTCTGAGCCTCCACATGCAGGACTTCGTCAAGCTGCTGGGTGAGTGGCCAGTACTGGGGCTCCGGTGCCTCAGGCCCTTCCTTCCCAGACTCCCCCAGACCCTTAAGGTCAGATAGTCATTTAGCTCAATCTCCTCATTTTACAGATGGAGCAGCTGAGACCAGAGAGGGGAAAGAACTTGCCTGAGGTACACAGTGAGTTAGTTGCAGAGCCGGGATTAGAACTCAGGTTTGACTCCCAGGCTAGTCTTTCCCTTTCAGCTTACTGCCTCTTAATTACTGCAATCATATCAGCATCCACATCTTGTTGCCCACCAGGTACCTGGTACTCTGCTAGGTGGTATGTGGACATAACCTCAAACGCTACTAGCCTTCAGGGTGAGAGATAGATCTCCCTCTAAAGAGACTGGAGGGGCTGGAGAGATGGTTCAACGGTTAAGAGCATTGTTTGTTCTTCCAGAGGACCCAGGTTCGATTCCCAGCCCCCACATGGTAGCTCACAACTGTCTGTAACTCCAGTTCCAAGGGATCTGATACCTTCACACCAAAGCATATAAAATAAAATTAAATAAATTAAAAAAAATAAAATAAAGAGATTGGAGCTCAAACCATTAACACACTTCAGCCAAGACAACACTTGGCTGATAAAGTTGGCACTCAAAGCCAGTGTCATCTAAACTCTAAATACACGTGCTGGTCGCTGAAGAAGTCCCAGTTCTCAGAAGTGGTCCTGCAGGATCACGCCTTGTAGATATGCAAAGTGCGTACCTGCAGACTCACCTGCTACACAGCAGGGTCGGCTAGAAGGTAAAAATGTCCTCCCAGCCCACCTTCTTACTTGGTGTGAAACAATGCCATGTAAGTACATAGCATCCTGTCCAGGATTAAGGGTGCTGTTAAGGAGCAGGATAATGTATATGTTATGTCAGGGTTGGGGAAGGGGACGAAATCATGGCCATATACCTACATATCCATGATTGGAGTGTTCTTTGAGGTTTGGGGTGCTAGAAGGAGCTCAGGTGAGTTCAGGGCCCCATGTCAAAGCCAGCCTGGGCCCATCAGCCTTTAGACATTCTAGAACGGTAGCATTCCCCTCACTTTTGACTGAGCAAATCACTGTTGAAAGAAGTACAAAATGGTACATTGTTTTCATTTTCATTTTCTTACTCACTTGGAAGAGCAAACATTTTTTTTTGCAGTGTATTCATTAGCATTCTACTTATAGACAAGTAGCACAAAGGAACAAAATAGACAGTTACAGTCATTTGCATCAGGAAGGCCCCAATGCAAAACTCAAAGCACTGCTTGGGCCTCCTGGGGGCCATGAAGGGGAGCTGAGGGGCTGCTGGTCTCCGCAGGGCTGAGACAGCGGCGCGAGGTGGTGGGCAGGAGCGCCATCTTCGGCGGGGAGCACTTCGTGCTGGAGGAGACGGACTGGTACCTGCTGAATCTCTTCCGCCTCTGGTGGTACTACGGCATCAGCTTCCTGAGGCTGCAGATGTGGGTGGAGGAAGTCATGGAGAAGTTCATGAGGTAGGGCCGGGTGGAGCTGCAGAACCGTGGAGCGCCTCCTACGGTGGAGCTGTAGGAGGCCAGGGAAGATCTGAGGAAGGAACTGATCAGTTGGAAAGTATGAAAGAGGAGTGAGGGTCAGTGCAGGGATCCTGCACGATCCACCGCAGGCTCAGAGCCAGCCTCCGCCCGAGGAGTGTGTGGGACAGGGCCCCTGGCCTTCTCACACTAATCTTTATTATTTCCTCCCACTGAAGGACTGAAGCATGTGCAGCGAACTCAGTCACTTGCAGAGGCTGAAGTGTGGTGTGCCTAAGTGAGGTCCCTGGGTGGAAGAGAACAAGGAGGTGGGGTGGCCTAGGCCATCTGAGGGAGGCAGCCAGCTGCAGCACACTGTAGCCAGCCACAAGGAATCGTGTCATGAGATCTTCCAGCTTTTCAGTTTATCTCCAGCTGATTCTGTGAGCCAAATGAAGCACTCGTGTAGGCTCTATGCAGCCTCGGGCTCACTCAGTGGCAGCTTGCTCTCCCTACTTTCTCCCTCTAGAGGAGTGGTTCTCGACGTTCCTCATGCCTTGACCCTTTAATACAGTTCCTCGTGTTGTGGCAACCCCAACCACAAAATTATTTTCCGTGTTACTGCAATTTTGCCGCTGTTAGGAATTGTAGTGTCAATATCTAGTTTGCGGGATATCTGATAATTGGATGTGAAAAGGTCGTCCAACACGCAAAGGGGTCATGACCTACACGTTGAGAAACACTGCTCTTTACTCTTCCTCTTGAGTGCCGGCTCCTCCCTATCACGTCTAGATGCAGAGGATAAGTGGCCTGTGCCTCTCTGTACTCACATGTCAAACAACCACCACTCTAGGAAGCAGTAGGCCCCTGCTTCCCGGAGCCCAGAGCGGAGGCTGCCCCTCAGGCCCCATCCCCTAGCTGCTGTACTTCCCTCCCCTCCTTCTCTCTTTCTTTTTAAACTAACTTATTCTTTGAGAATTTTATATAATGCATCCTGGTCCCAGCCTCCTCTCCTCCCTCTCTTAATCTCCTTCCCCCACCGCACACCAAGTTCTCATCTGACTTGCATGTCTTTTGTTTTGTTTTCGTGTATGCTTTACGGTCCACTGGGTTTAACCAGGGCTGTTCATCTGGGCATTGGTGTGGAGCTGTTCTCTGGAGCGTGGGAAACTTGCCAGTAAAGACAGTGACTTCCTCTTCTCCAGCAGCCCCGACTCCTTTAGCTTCCTTGGGTGGGTTGGGATCCCTTGAGCTGCTCCTCCCCACCCACGACTGAATGTTTATAGGGCTCTACTTTGAGCAGACTCTAAGCAGGCAACTGTATTTACTGTGTTTGTGAGTGCCACAGCCATGTTGTGCCCTTAGACTATTTCATAACCCTACTCCCCACCACTCAGCTTTTTTTTTTTTTTTTTTTTTTTTTTTTTTTTTTTTTTTTTTTTTTTTAACCTTTCTACCTTTGCTGACATAAAGTCTTGCTATGAAGTCCAGACTGGCCTCAAACTCGCAATATTCCTGTGTCACCCTTCTAAGTCCTGGGATTGCATTGCTTCTGTCACACACACACACACACAGTCACACTCAGCCCCCTCTTTTCTTCCATACACTTTTCTCTCTTGTCAGTTTGAAGTAGCCCTGCCATGCCCACTGTTTCCTATTGGGGAAGCAAATTTTACCTGTCTCCTTCTGGTCCCACCCTCTCGACATTGCCATCTAGTGGCCCAGTTGAAAACCAACCCCAGAAAAGGCAGCCATTCAAAATAAAAACATTCAAAAAAGCTAGTCCAGAACTGTATCCGCAGGTAAAATAGTTCCCACCTGTGCTAGTTCCTGGGCTGAAATGAATGGAAAGGGGATGAGACAGGAGCTCTGAGCAAGTGAGAGCCCTGCCCGATCAAGCCAGAGGGAAGTAGTAGTGGTGTGAGACTATTGTCATCAGCCCCAGCGTGGTCCTTGAAGCCAGGACAAATTAGAAGCTAGGGGAAAAAAATCCACTCGTGTCCCGAGACACATCAGCACCTGGGGCAGGAAGTGTGGTATAATTGGCATCCAGCAGACCCACAGTAGGAAGCCAGGCCCTGTGGGATCCTGGATTATCTGCCTTTATCTCTGTGCTGTCTCTGGGTGCCTGTGCCGAGGTACAGATGAGCCCACTATAGCCACAGAACAGGCCAAAGGGATGGGAGTAGCAGGCCCCACGGGACTTCGTGATGGGTGGTCAGCCCAAGCCTTTCTGCCACAGACCCCAGTCCCGTGTGTCTCTTAGGATCTACAAATACCAGGCTCATGGCTATGCCTTCTCGGGCGTGGAAGAACTGCTCTACTCCCTGGGGGAGGCCACCTTTGTCAACATGACCCAGCGCTCAGTGGCCGAGTCCCTGCTTCAGGTGGGCGTCACACAGCGCTTCATTGACGATGTTGTCTCTGCTGTCCTGCGGGCCAGCTATGGCCAGTCGGCATCCATGCCCGCCTTTGCTGGTGAGTCCAGCCCTCAGCCTGCCTGTCCTCCCTGCCCCGTTGCTCAAAACAGCCTGGGCCCTATGAAAGCCTTATGGCTTTATGCCTAGGCCCCCATTCTTTTTCTTTTATTTTAAAATCACATTGTATTTTGTTTGTTGTCTGTGCTCATGGCTGGGAGGAGTCTTGTCCTGCCAGGAAGACCCAAAATCTTTCCTCCCTTTCCCAGGAGCCATGTCACTAGCTGGGGCTCAGGGCAACCTGTGGTCTGTGGAAGGGGGCAACAAGCTGGTTTGTTCCGGTTTGCTGAAGCTGGCCAAGGCCACCGTAATCCATGCCACAGTGACTTCTGTGACCCTGCACACGACAGGTAAGTTATGCCCATCCCATTCCTAGCCAGCCCTCCTTTCTCTTCTGAACCTCAACCCTAGTTGTCCCTGCTAGGAAATAGTTCTCAGAAAATCAGTAGAAGGTCCACCAACACTAGAGGGCACTGTCGTGGTTCAGATGTCAGAGCGAGGAAGCTTCCTTCCACGTATAAACTATTCCTTTGACCACTGAGAGTCTGAGTGACATCCTTACCTCAGCCAGTCAGCCGAAGAGCCAGAGCAAGGGCTTCTCCCTCCTAACACACAGACCAGTGAGTGCCTGACCAGCAGTGATGTTAATATGGGAAGAAGGGACTGCCCGGCTGCTCCTGACACCAGCCTCTCAGTGCTGGTGCCAGTGCCCCCAGTGCTGGGTCCCAAATGGAAGATCAGTGGGTAGAAACCAAGGAATAAGTGGACACTTATGTTCTCTCTCTTGCCAGAAGGGAAAGCCCTGTACCAAGTGGGGTATGAGAGTGACAAGGGCAACAGCTCTGACTTCTACGACATCGTGGTCATTGCCACACCCCTGCACCTGGACAACAGCAGCCACAATATCACCTTTGAAGGCTTCACTCCACCCATTGATGACATTCAGGGCTCTTTCCAGCCCACTGTGGTCTCCCTGGTCCATGGCTACCTCAACTCTTCCTTCTTTGGTTTCCCTGACCCTAAGCTTTTCCCCTTTGCCAACATACTCACCACGGACTTCCCCAGCTTCTTCTGCACTCTGGACAACATCTGCCCTGTAAACATCTCAGCCAGCTTCCGGCGGAAGCAGCCCCAGGAGGCAGCAGTTTGGCGAGTGCAGTCCCCAAAGCCCCTCTTCCGGACCGAGCTGAAGACCCTCTTCCGTTCCTATTACTCAGTCCAGACAGCGGAGTGGCAGGCCCACCCCCTCTACGGCTCCCGCCGCAACCTCCCAAAGTTTGCGCTTCATGACCAGCTCTTCTACCTCAATGCCTTAGAGTGGGCAGCCAGCTCCGTGGAGGTGATGGCTGTAGCTGCTAAGAATGTGGCCTTGTTGGCTTACAACCGCTGGTACCAGGACCTGGACAAGGTTGACCAGAAGGACTTAATCCATAAGGTCAAGACTGAACTGTGAGGGCTCCAGGGAGAGCCCAGGAACTCAGTCCCACACTGAAGATGGAGCCCACCCCAGCAGCACAGAACTGAGTAGGCCACATGCATGGGCTGCAACGCTGTATCTGTATTGGTACTAAGCAGGTTCCCCTGTGTGGGTCCAGGTGACCTACTGTCTGCCGATCTAAGGATCCTCCTAGAGGCTGCCTTTTTGTTTTGTTTTCTTTTTCTAAGGAAGAGATTAAGAAAAGGGAAGCAAATCCAAGTCAATGTTTGGGTTTTTTTGTTTTCGGGGGGGGGGGGGCTATTTTATTTGTTACTGTTTTTCAAGAAGAAATAAAAATTCATCCTCCAAGCCACTTCTGACTTTGTTTTCTCACTAAAAGCCAAGATGACCATGAGAAAGAACATAAAGCAAAGAACTCAGTTTTCTTTCATTCCTCTCTTCCATTACCAACTCCCCAAGATGCACAGCCTGCAGTGAAACATTTACAACCAGCTAGTAAAAGCAGAAGGCAAGGTCAGAAAATGTAGGCGTTTGGATGGGCTGTTTGGAGCCGGTTCTAGTTCAGAAGTTCCTTAGAGACCATCACCTCCCAACAGTACTGAGTGTGACTGATCCGACCTGAGGGAGAGGTGTTTACCCAGACATTGCCATCAGTAGAGCCCTGGTCTGCCTGTCAATCAGTAGAAACATGGAGACATGCTGGGCTGTAGGAAGAAAGGAAGCTTTTGACATCCCCTGGAGGGATTGGCCATTCTCTTTCTGGAAGGGTGCAGGAGTCACGTGATGGATCTGTCTTGCAAAGGAGACAAGTCCTCGGATGGTAGAGAGTGGTCCTACCTTACCCCCCAAACTTTCCCCTAGCTGGAGAAAGGGAGGTGTGGGATGGAGTTCTTCGGAGCTTAACCTGGTGCATTCTCTGGCACCAGCTTCAGAGTGAACAAGTTACACTTTGCTTTCTCAGTCACCTATGGAGATCAGTAGGCTGGGGCTGGAGGTGCAGTTTGGTAGCAGTATGCTGACCTAGCATTTGAGTCCTTGGCTTCCACTCCCCAAACCACCAAATAAACAGATAAAATAAATCTCCAGGATTATGGGCAAAGCTCAGTGGAGGGCTTATGTTTGGATGTGTGAAGCCCCTCGTTCAAGTCTCAGCACCCACACCCCCACCCACACCCAAAATGAGTTTTTAACAGTGGAATGAAACTTGTCTTCATTCCTTTAGACCTGTGCCTTTCTGCAGAGGGAGCACGCGGGGGAGCAGTGTGAGCCACCACACAAACACTCACACACACAGATACAGACACACAAACACACACCTCTCAGACTTGTTAGGTTGGGCTTTAAGAAAGATGCTTGGGTGCACACTGGCCACCAGAGGATCCTAGCACAGAAGCTTGCCCAACAGACAGGACTGAGAGTCCTCTGGCTGCTTCCATTTGCAGGGAAGATGAGAGAGAACGTAACTTGTCTGAGGTCTCAGCGAAGTTTTATAGAATAACCCAGATCTGGAGCTTCGCCTTAATTGAGTTCAGTGTGAGAGCAAAAGCCCCTTCCATGCAGTGAGGCTCATTGTCTAACAGGTGATAGCTATGGCACAAGGAATCTGCATGGGATAGGTGTTACAGAACCCGTGAGACTGGCATGCCAGTAAGACAAATTTTGGTTGAAAGAGATGAAAACTTTGAACAGTGAAGACATTACTGCTTAAAACGATTTGAGGCCATGTGCGAAGTGCAGATCCCTGTTCTTATAGCCAAAGACTGCTGTCAGCAGGTCCCCCTAGTGGGACACAGCCACTGAGCCAAATTTTTAACATAGGCCATATAGACCAAACCTGCAGGGAAGGGTTTGGTTGCTTCCAAGTGCTGATTGGTTGGGCTTTAGTTACCTAACCAATGGGGGGAGGGACACAGAGTAAACTGATTTTCTTAGGATAACAGGTTCTGATAATATGATCCCTGGAGTAGCGGCCTTATCCAAATGTCAGGGCTGTGGAAGGACCTATGCACCTCTCTGTCCCCAAGTTCCAGTGATGTCCAAGTGTGTGATGGTGTCTTTCAGTAGACTTTGAAATGAAGATGGCACAGGCTGTCGTTGTATGCCAGAAGACCAAAGACAATGCAAAACATGCTCTGCTAACCACCCCTCCCTTGAGTCCCTAAGGAGGGTGTGGCTCAGACCCTAGGGCAGGCCCTCCGCTGGGCTGGACCTCCATGCTAAGGCTGAGCTGGCTATACCCTTCGGAGCCTTCCTTTGCCTGAGAAGGCAGGCCTAAACAGCCCCCCAGTCCAGAGCCACACACAGTGAATACCCTGAGGTCTGCTTACCTTCAAGTTCAACTCATGGTCTTAGTAATTGCAGGACAGATTGGGGAACACAGTAATTGCAGGACAGAAAGGGGAACACAGAACAGCTGAAAGCTTTGTCTCAGGGCCCACCTAAGCCTTCTCAGGCCAGAACCAACATTCCCACCCCAGGCCCAGAGAAGCCTGAGAATCTGACCAGCAAACAGAAAAGGCATCACCCTGACCATCCATGGTCCTCAGTGCAGTATAATGAGTGCTTAAAGCCCTGCACCTAGGCTAACAATGTAGCTCAGCCAATAGAGTCCTTGCTGAGGATGCACAGAGCCTTGAGTCACGGTCATCTCTGCCTGTAATCCCAGCATTCGGGAGGTGAGGCAGGAGGATCAGAAGTTCAAGGCCACCCTTGCCTACATAGTGGATTAAGACACTTGCTGCCAAGCCTGAAGACTTCAGTTCAATCCCAGGACCCACAGGGTGGAAGGAAAAGCTATCCCGTGAGTTTACTACTGCATGCGGTATGCATTCATGCACGCGTCCTCAGTCCCCTCTCTAAATGTTTAAAAAAACAAAACAAAACAAAACACTGTTTTTAAAAAGAGGTTGTACCTTTAAGTCACAGGATTTCAAAGACTAGAAAAGAGCTTGAAGGTGGTAAAATTTCATCCGCCCATTTTACAGATGAGGACCCAGCAACAGGGAAAGCCACATCCTTGTATATCAAACATACACCAGGCATCTAAGAGGCTAACACTCCCTCTCTAAGGATGGCCGCTTCTCACCAAGAAGAGGGTTTCCATCCTACCATCACCACGGTGCTCTCTCAGCACTCCTGCAGTTCAGCTTCTCCCATGGTGACTTTAAGGGAAGCTCTGGAAGTTGTTGTGCCCATTACATAGGCCTCTAACCCAGAGAGCACGGGGCTTGGGGGGTAGACACCTCAGTTGTAAAGCACATCCTTAGCATGTATGATACCTTGGGCTTGGGGATACACACTGACCCAGAGAGCATCTGTGGGAGCCTTAGAGACGAGCAACCCCTGCAGAAGTGGCTGCTAAAGGGATCGGCATGAGCTGGCACGTGGAGTATATTTTCCATGTGTCTGGAACCAGGCCAGAACTTCCCAGGGTAATTTTAACCAGTATACACTCTACAACAATACCAAAAAAGGTAAGTTACTTTCCAGCCCAGACAGGCACATACCTAACCATTGGCTTTTCATGAATTACACAATTAAAACATTCCACACTGAAGCTGTTATATGCACAAGATCTCAAACAGCCAAGTGAAGTGTTCCTACAGGGAGCTAGTGACCCTTTCCCGGAGGGTAACTCCAAAGTGGGAGCTCACCCACAGAAAATAGTCCAAGCCCCTCAGCTGTCCTGGGGGCAGGCAGGGTATTTTTAGAGCCCAGGACAGCTGATCAGGGATTTGCTGTGGGGTTAGAAGGCCCAAGAGGCAAGATTCAATTACAAAGGGGGAAGAGTTAGCATCAGGGGTCAAAAACCAGTGCCAGCTTTAGAATAATTCTTTGCATACTGCCAATGTTGGTCAGTAGAATGCCTTGATGTGACCCAGTGGTTCTCACAGTCCCCGTCATGTCACAGATGGCAGCATGAGCATCCATAGGAACCACAATGGTAGAAAGTAAAGGAAACCACTGCATTCAAGTGAAGAAATAGCAAGGCCCCTAAGTCAGTGCCCCTGAGTGTTGGGCCAGTGGTCTGTGTGAACAAGCTTCCCATGCGGCTAATTCACACTGACATTTTGAGGATGGCAAATACTGGTACCTACCCCAGCACTAAAGGTAAGCAGCCAGATTAAAAAACAAAAACAAAACTATCCAGTTTGCTTTGCATCTCTTGAGTGTTCAAAGCCACAGTTTCTCTTCTGATGGGGGAGGGGAGAATAGATAGATAGATAGATAGATAGATAGATAGATAGATAGATAGATA